CCAAGTGTTAGCAATGTTTTCCTATCCAGGCTCTAAAACCACTCAACATATCTAAACCAATCACTCAAATGCCTACATTATTTGGAGAAAAAAATGAAATAGTTAAATGCATGACCTACAAAGCCAATCTGTTATGGACTACAAGCTCAATCATGGACAGCCAGGGATTGCTGTCCATGCATCCACACCTATTGTTAGCTGATGGATACATGCAATAAGCAATTAAAAATGTATTTTTAATTGCTTATTGGTAATTTATGGATAATGTGTTAAGTCAATTGTTATATGTTGTATGGAACCACTGCTGTTTCTACTGTTTCTACTGTTTGTGAACCGCTGTGAGTCGCCTTCGGGCTTGAGATACAGCGGTATATAAGAAAAGTAAATAAATAAATAAATAAATAATTCAAATAATCAAGAAAGAAAATATATGCAAGAATAATATAACTATTTGAATAGCAGGTCCTTAGCTAATCAAATGCTCGGGAGACAATAGAAGGAGAAAGTAAGTGAAAGAAAATGACAAATCTAAGTAAGCTGGGTCATGTCTATTCCCAATTAGCAGTGCTTTTAGTGCATCCTTTCTTTTCTAACCCATCTCCTGCAGAGATGTTACATTTCTAGGTTTCTGTTAAGCCCATCAAAGGCAAGGAGTGATGTAGCTGAAAATGATGGAACCTGACATGAATGGGTTTACTGAGTCCTTGAATGGGAGGTTGCCATGCTCCATATTTCCAAAGATGATGAAAAAATTAATCAGGCTTAAGGAGTCATCAGTTCAGTCAGTTAGCATTGCTCTGCAGTGAAAGGGAGGCTCAAGGAAGGGTGTGCCAGCCTTCCAACCCTGTCATCTATTGGAAAAGATTATGTACATTGCTGAAAAGGTGGTGGTGGTGGTGGGGGGGGGGGGGATTGAATAACCTCTCAGGGAAAAATTGTTTCAACAAACTGAGGAGTTTGCTGATGTCTTGGCATTCTAGACAAACCCAGGCACAATGATGCAGAACACCTGGGCTTGACAGCACATGACTCGTACTGTTTTACACAAAGACAAATGAATTGTTCTCTGGTAGTCCTGTGGTTACAAAAATCATCATCAATTTGCCTTACAAACTGTACTCCATCTGTATACACACATGCCATCTCCTCATTTACCCACAATGATATAGTTGGACTTTTATCAAAGTGAACATGTGCACCGCTCCATAAAACCTCAGAATTGTTATGAATACTAGGGCTCTAAGATTGGATTGGGCAATTTTCCACTGGATAGGTGAAGAAGCTATCTGGAACCATCTCTACATACAACCAACCAATGTGTGTTTGTTGTGGGTATATGTAGTATCATCACTGGAGTTCAGTGGCCACCACAATCGGGGCATGGTAGCTCCCTGCTCCTGATACTTCTGAACAAATTCAACAACTGGATTACTGTGAGTATTTCAGGCTGTATGGTCATGTTCAAGAAGCATTCTCTCCTGACATTTCGCCCACATCTATGGCAGGCATCCTCAGAGGTTATGGAGTCTATTGGAAAATAAGCAAGTGGGGTTTATATATCTGTGGAATGTCCAGGGTGAGAGAAAGAACTCTTGTCTGTTGGAGGCAAGTGTGAATGCTGCAGTTAATCACCTTGATTAATATTGAAAAGCTTTGCAGCTTTAAGGCCTGGCTTATTCCTGCCTGGGGGAATTGTTTGTTGGGAGGTGTTAGCTGGCCCTGATTGTTTCATGTCTTGAATTCCCCTATTTCTTTATTTCCTGATTTGATTTTAGAGTTTTTAAATACAGGTGGACAGATTTTGTTCCTTTTCATGGTTTCCTCCTTTCTGCTGAAATTGTCTACATGCTTATGGATTCCAATAGCTTCTCTGTGTAGTCTGACATAGTGGTTGTTAGAATGGTCCAGCATTTTTGCGTTCTCACTCTAGCATCCACTAAGACAGACAAAACAGAGAAGCCATTGAAATCCATAAGCATGTGGACAATTTCTAAAGAAAGGAGGAAACCATGAAAATGAACAAAATCTGGCTACCAGTATTTAAAAAACTCTAAAATCAGGACAGTACATACAGAGGAACACTAAAAAAAACCCAGGGGAATTCCTGATATGAAACAATCAGGGTCAGCTAACACCTCCCAACAAAGGATTCCCCCAGACAGGAATCAGCCAGGCCATAAAGCTGCAAGGTGATTAATTGCAGCATTCACAGTTTGCCTCCAACAGACAATAGTTCTTTCTCCCACCCTGGACCTTCCACAGATATATAAACAAACATCCCTTGCTTAATTTCCGATATATCTCATAACCTCTGAGGATGCCTGCCATAGATATGGGTGAAACATCAGGTGAGAATGCGTCTGGAACACAGCCATACAGTGATTCTGGCCATGAAAGCCTTCGACAACAAATTCAACAACAACTGTGATTTATCTTTACCATACAAACAGCAAACTGGCAGGATGGAGTATTTCCTTCCCTTCAAAAACAGGATTCAACACAGAAACTGTTTGTGTATAGCCAAAGTTTCTAGACTGCTCACTTCTGTTTCAAGGCAAGTGAGAATTTCCCAGAACAACAGTTTCTCCCTTTTGGATAGAAGGGCCAAATATTATTTCACCAATTCTAAGGTCTGCAGTCAATCTGAGTTATATTTTGCATAGCACAGAATTCTATTTTTTCCTGCAGGAGTAAGACATATGATGTTCCTTTTTCCTGACTAGAACTTTCTGGATGAGTTTAAAATTTACAAGGCCTACTTGGGATCTCTGGGTATATGGCAGGAAAGTGTTTATGGCTAGGAAATAATGTTACTGGAAACAGCCAAATTCATATTTCTCCACTATATATGACACTATATATCTCCTCATTTGTCTGCACAAGTGTGTTTGTGCAAGAAAGATGCATTCATTTAAGCCTACAATAGACAGGTCATGGATTCCCTCCAAGGCCACCCACCACATTGCCTTGAGCACTCTTTCACCTGCTGCTAACCCCAGTTATCTAAGATTGTAATAGCTTTAACCCAATTTCTTTTCCAGCAGGCTGAGTATGCAAAGAGATTTCTTTTGGAACAACTAATCTTAGGGCTTAAAGGCAACGGGGTTATGCTATTGCAGCCTCTAGCTTCCAATCTGAAAACACACATATTTCTCACTTCCAGTCTGAAAGCAGGCACCCCCATATGCCAGATCTTCCCTTTCCTCTTTAGAGAGCTGGACTCCACCCCCATCCTCCCACTCCCATCCTCCAAGGCTCTTCCCTTTGGCAAACTGCTAGAGCAACAGCCGTGAGTCGCTTGGCAGCGACAAGATCCTTCCACAGAAATAAAGTCATTTGCAGGAAATCCTCAAATCTTTGTAGCAATGTCAGCTTGACATGCGAGGGGAAAGCTGCCAAGCTGTGGGTGGCATCATCATGCCTGGCAAAAGGCAAGCCTGGAACATGTGTTTTTATTCATGACATTTGTTACAATATCTTGCAATAAAAGCAAAGAGGATCTGAGCTGCCAAACCACCATTCCCTGGCATGAATTGTCCATTTACTAAGTTAATACAGTTGGCCCTTCTTATCCACAGATTCTTCATCCATAGATTCAACTATCTACAGCTTGGAAATGTTTTTTTTTTAAAGCAAACCTTGATTTCATGTTGTTGTAGTTTTTTTCAGGCTATATGGCCATGTTCTAGAGGCATTATCTCCTGACGCTTCACCTGCATATATGGCAAGCATCCTCAGAGGTTGTGAGATCCAAGTTTGCCCATATGGCCATGTTCTAGAGGCATTCTCTCCTGACGTTTCACCTGCACCTATGGCAAGCATCCTCAGAGGTTGTGAGACCCAAGTTTGCCCATGCCTGAGTTAACCCAATCTGAAAATATTCTTTGCTTACAAGAGTTCAGCACCATAATAGACTCTTTCTACCATTAAAAGTAACTGTCATTATCACAGACACCCTTGGAAGATAACTCCTAGGTCATGAAATGAAACTGCCATGTGTTTAGATGTACATGTATGATACAAGAACATCAATTTAGATAAACAAGAGGGCTGTGAGTTTCCACAAAGTGTTGTGCTGATTAATTCCTTTGTTGTGTCTAAAGAAGGATTTCACAGAGAAGCAGTCCACCTATGACGACTGACCAAGGTAATTCCATTATTGCTCTGAATTTGTTAATGTTGTGAGCCACTTTGGGTATCAGTTGAGTTAAAATCAGGATATCATCATCATAATCATCATTTAATTGACATTATTTAATTGACAAGGCATTGACATCTCCGGCCCATCCTCTGTTCGGATATCAGCCAGCAAACCAATGCCTTAAATCAAGAAATAGCTTTCTACGATCTACAGAGACAATTGCAGGAACACCTCAGCAAGCAAGAGTCCAAAAGTGGCAGGCTAAAACCCAGAACCTCAATCAGTGGCTCATACCAGATGAGAAACTCCCTCCTGGGCACACAGAAGATTGGGCGACTGGGAGGCACTGAACAGACTGCACTCTGGCAACTCGAGATGCAGAGCCAACCTTTAGAAATGGGTTCACAACGTGGAGTCCACAACATGCGAGTGTGGAAAAGAGCAGACCACATACTACAATGCAACCTGAACGTTGCCACATGCACAATGGAGGACTTTCTCACAGTGACACCAGAGGCACTCCAAGTGGCCAGCTTCTGGTCAAAGGATATTTAGCATAATGCCATGTTTTTAACTTTCTGGTTTTTCTAGACATTATAACTGTATTCTCAATTGGCACGATAAATAATAATAATAATAATAATAATAATAATAATAATAAAATTGTTTGGGACAACAGTGGGGGAAGACCTATTATCTTTGTACTCCCGGTAGGTATATGATTGGCCACTGCAGGACAGGTCACGCTGTGCCAGATGAACCTTTGGCATAATCTAATAAGGCTTCTCTCACATTCTAATGAACAGGTCATGAATCTTAAAATGAAATGTTTACATCAAGGGAATTTTGCATCACTTACCATAAACCCATCCAACACAGATGACTTCAAAGACAGCAAGAAAGAGTAGGCATGTTCCACTGGCTGCATAATAATCAAACAGCTGAAAGATATACATCCCACCCTGCAAAAAAGAACAATCAGGAATCGTCAGACTGTGTGCAAAGATTCTTTTTAAAAAATCATCTTTATTGAGTATTTATAAAGAGAAAAAAAAATCCAAAACAAACATATATTAAAACCAAAAGAGAGAGGGGAAAAAAAGAAAAGACAGAAAAAAAAGAAAAAAGTGTAGTAAAAAGTGAAATATATGATTCTGAACACTACACAAAAGAAAGAAAGAAAGAAAAGAGAGAAATAGGGAGAGAAAAAGAAAAAAATGTAAGAAAAAGAAGGGATATATACTAGACATACCTAGTGTTCATTTATGGTTACCATCACTTGGAAACAACTTAAAGGCACACAACAATAATACATAATATATAGTTTTTACAGACTCAAAAGAAGGTATGTGTTGTTTGGTTTCCATAATTTTCTCCATTATTTCCTACCCTCCTTAGAACACATTTCAATTTGTGATTATTTCTGCAATACAGCCAAATGAGCCAAAGCACTAGAAAACCATTCATAATAGCAGTATGTGAGAATGTGGTTGACAGAAATCCCAAATTATAAATTCCTCTTTTCTGCCTTCCACTGACCTCCACTTCTCACCTCAGTGACCAGAAACAAGCCAAGTAGGTAGCAGATCACTGCAATGGCCAGGATGAGCAGCTCCCGGCGCCCTTTCTTACGGAAGACTTCTGGGAACATATCCACGATGGCTGTGACCAAGCTCTCAACACAGACAAACTAAGGAAAGAAAGCATATCAAGAAACCCAGGTTTCAAGTTATAAGACCTTTCTTACAAACTATGGTTGTTCAAACATCTATAGTCATAACCCAAAGACTCTGGTTTGAATCTTTTCTGCAATGATGGAAATACTTTGTCACTGGCACAGGCTGAAATCATCACCACCACCACCAGCCACAAGGAAAGCCAATGGTGGCTTCCATATAAGTGGATGATGAATCTGCTCCAGTGTATTGTCAAAGGCTTTCATGGCTGGAATCACTGGGTTGTTGTAGGTTTTTAAGGCTATATGGCCATGTTCTAGAAGCATTCTCTCCCAACGTTTCACCTGCACCTATGGTGAGCATCCTCAGAGATTGTGAGGTCTAAGGACCTCACAACCTCTGAGGATGCTTGCCATAGATGCAGGTGAAACATCAGGAGAGAATGCTTCTAGAACATGGCCATGTAGCCCGAAAAACCTACAACAACCCAATCTGCTCCAGGTTTTCTCCCAGAATTTTAAGGGAACTACTCATATTGGTGAACTTTATCTTCCAAACAGGTTCACCACCTTTGAGAGCTTAAAGAGAGCTATGTTAAAATTTAAACCATGGGTAGATTTACTGACAGGAGAGCCACCAGCTGACAGTGAGAAGAGTCTGTAACTCTAATGGTAAGCGAGCATATGCTTTGTGCACTTCAAGATCTGTAAATAACCCTCTCTCAGAAACTCTGGAGAACACCCGTCAGCACTTTGTCTATTGTGAATCAACAGAAGGTGACCTTATCTGCTTCCTATCTATCCTATAGTGAACATGCAGTCTAATGGACATTGCAAATGCTCTCCCTTCTTCCTTTCCTTCTCTAGTTTATACATTCATTCATTCATTCACTCATCCATTCCACGTTCCAAGCTGGCAAATATGGTTGTCCTTTTCTCCCTAGTTCAAGACCAAGTTACAGCTTTCTGCATTGGCATACTTGACTGTCCAACCCCAAGAAGATCAGCATAATGAAGAATAAGCAGGACCACAGCTGAGACACAGGCATCATGGTTACAGCTTTCGGGTAGGCGATGAATGCTAGGCCAGGACCTATCAATGAAACAAAAGTCAATAAACAGCTGTTTTACTGATCTAAGAATAGGGAAACTTCAGATGTGGACTCAAATGGCCATCATGACCATTGTCCAGGCTGGATGAGCCTGATGGGATCTGGTGACCAATAGTATTTGGAGGACCACTCATTTCCACAGTCTGGTTTAATCCAACATGCCTTATATGCACTGGCAACAGGAGTACACCCATTCAATCAAGAATAATTTGGTAACTTCATTGGGTCAAAGGGCCTACTAGGATTCAGACCAATGTGGTTTGTCTTACATACAGTGTATATAAAAAGCACGATAGAAAGTATGTTTTATCCATATACTAATGTCTCCCCCCCCCCCCCCCCCCCCCCCCATTTAAAGATTTTTCTAAACAATCCTTTTAGTGCTACCTCTATTTTCTATCCTGTCTCTAATGCAGGGATTACCAAACTGTAGTCTACATGCTCCTCTGGGTTTGTAGAATTGAGAATTTCTGAACTTAGTCTTGCACTTGATTTATTTAGATTCCCTGGTGATGGAGATTGAGGTCATTTTAATCAGAACTAGAATATCAAATAGCCTAACAAAGCTAAGGACTAGTGTTTGAAAAATGTGTAATACAATACATACACATTGAAAAATGTGTAATACAATTGATTACAAAAATGTGTAATCAATTAGTTTTCAATAAATAATACAAGCAGGATTTGACACCTTTTTTTAGATGTACTAATACATTTGTGTGTATGTGCATTCACGTTGTCTGTGGAGAGAAGGTAGCCTCGTGAATTTCATAGGGGTTTCTCATGGGTCGCGGGTGGTGCAATAGGTTAAACCCTTGTGTTGCTGAACTGCTGACCTGAAGATTGGCAGTTCAGATTTGCAGGATGGTGTGAGCTCCCGCTGTTAGCCCTAGCTCCTGCCAACCTAGCAGTTCGAAAACATGTAAATGTGAGTAGATCAATGGGTACCACCTTAGTGGGAAAGGCAAAAAATGCTCCAAGGAGTCATGCCAGCCACACAATCAGGAGGTGTCTATGGACAATGCAGGCTCCTCGGCTTAGAAATGGAGATGACCACCTCCCCCAGAGATGGAGTTTAACACCGCCTCCAGAAGCTGGAGATGAAAGGGGAAGCCTTTGCCTTTGTCTGTGTATTTGTGTTCATTGTATTTCACTGTAACGAGGCACTGAATGTTTGCCTGTGTTTGTTTATATGCTGTAATCCACTCTAATTCCCCTTGAGGAGAAGGACAGAATATAAATAAAGTGTTATTATTGTTGTTGTTGTTGTTGTTAGGCAAGGAATTATAGCTACTAATTCACAAATAAATAGTTAGTTCACCTCCCACAAATAACTAACAATGTCAGAAATGGTGGGTAATTTTTCTATGTATACTACTGACAACATTTACAGGGCTTCTTCAAAATACTGGGAAGAAAGGAGATGCCTACTCCTAAGATATCAATCCATGGCTTATATTTTCCCATTTTTCTTGCTTCTGTCACCAGAACCCACTGCTTACCTGATTCTGCAACGTCAGAGATGTGGACACCCTGTTCTTTTGCCATGAAGCCCAGTACAGAGAAAATAGCAAAGCCAGCCACAAAGCTGGTGGCACTATTCAAGAAGCACAGCATAAAGCAATCCCTGTTGGACAATTCCAGAAAAAATCAAGTGAGATTTATAAAGCATTATTAGTCTAAAATATGACCATGTTGGGAATAGAGTATGTAATTGGATCCCTGTATTTTATCTCATCATTCAAGAAATGGGTTTATACACTCCAAAGGTTGGCATTACCCAATGGTACAGCAAACACTTTGCATATGGAAGGTTTCAGGTTTAACCCTGGTATCTCCAAAAGGTTCTGGGAAAGTGCGTAACTGCTTCAAAGATATGATAACACTGCCCAATAATAACAACAACAATTATTATTGGTGTTTTAAGCCTCTTCCATGGGGTTATTTGGGGGCTGATTCAGAAAATTGCATTGGTTATATTGTATCAGCTGGAGTGTCTTAGCTATGTTTATCATGATTTTCTATGGACGAGTAGATGAAGACTGGTAGATGCCATACGTTCTGTATCTTAAAAAACAAGAAATAAAAATGGTGCCATTTTTGGAATCAGCAGGTAAAATATACCCCAAAACAGGTTTAACATTTAAGGCACCAAAATGTGCATTGGCCAGTGGAATCATACATGGATGAGATAGAGTCAAAGATCCAACTCAGTACTGGAAGTATTCCTCAACATATACACATACAAAAAAAGAGAGTAAGATAGTGCAATTATGCATACACATATTGATATAGTGGCCATCAGACCAGAACAAAGCCATGTGCAGAAAGCAAACATCAAATCATATCTAGTTAGTAAATTGCTTTTCACAATTAATGAAGGTCATTGCTATATGACTCACAAGTCTCAGTGAACAATAAGCAAGTCCTTGGTTTTAACATGATGTCGATAGGGGACGAATGATCTCAAACAATTTGAAAAGAATAATAATGATAATGGGAAAACTAAGGCTCAAACCCTTGGTGGAACAGTCATGGACACAAATATCTATGAAGTTGTTGCGGAATGTAATTTTCTGCCATTTGAGCTTTGGAACTCATTGCCACAGAATGCCCATGCTATGTATTTGTTCTTTTACCAGTGATGAGAATGAACTCATCACTAAGTGGTTGGTGGTGTTGCTCATACCCATAAGAAGGGAATCAAAATAAGGAACCTTAAAGTTAGGCCCCAGGTGGCACAGCAGGTTAAGCTGCTGAGCTGCTGAACTTGCTGATCAAAAGGTTGGTGGTTCGAATCCAGGGAGCGGGGTGAGTTCCCACTGTTAGACCCAGCTTCTGCCACCCTAGCAGTTTGAAAACATGCAAGTGTGAGTAGATCAATAAGTACTGCTTCTGCAGGAAGGTAAGGGCAGTCATGCTAGCCACATGACCTTAGAGCTGTCTATGGACAGCGGTGGCTCATTGGCTTAGAAATGGAGATGAGCACCACCTCCCAGAGTTGGACACAACTAGACTTAGGGGAATCCTTTACCTTTACCTTCTAAAGTCCAGACTAAAACCAGGTTCTGATTCACCACCTCAGCAACGGCAGCCAGAAGACACTGCCGAAGAAGCAATGAGTTTTAAAGGTTTCTTTTCCAAGTCTTGAGGGAGAAGTCATGCAGTGATCCTTACCGATAGCAATTGTTGTTGTACTTGTTGTAGCTTCCCAAGGCTGTCAGGCATCCTTGGCAAATGGCATAAGAAAAGAAAATCTGAGTTCCTGCATCCATCCATACCTGGAACAAAAAATGGGGTAATAATTTCCAGATTCAGGAAGCAAAACATTTTGAGTTTTTAGTAACAAATCCTGCTGCCGTGTAATTTCCCACACGTACAACATCTTTACACCCATCTGCCCATCTACTTAAGCAAGAATTTTGAAATGATGTAGCATCATAGCACAAGGTGGTCATGTGCCTTACTCTAAAGAAAACAGTACTCTTCTTGAGGAATTCTCCACATCAAGTCCATTTTGGAGACCAAAAACCATAAGAAATAAAAGCAAGGCATGGACAGCAGAAAGAGCAGGGTGCTGTGTCCCTTACATAACACACAATTAAAGTGTTGTAGTCACAGCAATATGCTACAGAATACTGGGATCTGTAGTTTAGAAAGAGGTATTTAGAATTGTCAGCCAGACAGCCCTAGTGCTTCACCAAACTGCAAATCCCAGAATTCATTACGATGTAACCATGGCAACTGAACCAAAATCATAATGTTATGATTATATAATGTGAAAGGTCCTGCAATATTTAGATAGACTCTATAAACATAAACATAAATCTATTTATTGTCGAAGGCTTTCATGGCCAGAATCACTGGGTTGTTGTAGGTTTTTTCAGGCTATATGGCCATGTTCTAGAGGCATTCTCTCCTGACGTTTCACCTGCCAGGCACTGCCAGGCCATCAAATGTTAATCAGGTGCTCAGTTCAAACATTCACACCTAGCTCCAACAGACAAGAGTTCTTTATCCCACCCCAGTCATTCCATAGATATATAAAACCCATTTTCCTAGTTCCAACAGACCTCACTACCTCTGAGGATGCTTGCCATAGATGCAGGCGAAACGTCAGAAGAGAATGCCTCTAGAACATAGCCATATAGCTCGAAAAAACCTACAACAACCCATATATCTATTTTATTATTCCCAGACAGAGTATATTTATATAAGGAAAAAAATTACTAGCATTCAGTTGATCCAAAGTACGGGCTACATTTGGGATTAACATTTTAAAATTTGAATCTATATGTATAAATTGGCAAACATGATTTTAATGCAGATTTTGTCCTCTTTCCCCTGTGTTTCAGTGGTACATTTATTCTTCAGAGAAGATGTGAAGACCTTAATGTAGCAATGCAGAGAGTGGCAAGAAAAGAAAACATGTCTGTTTATGTTAACAGGTTTATTACAATAATATATGTAAAGGTGGGCCAAAAGTCGAAATGGTGATTCAATATTTAATAACTAACTCCTTTTTGTTTTTAATTTACAACACTGTAGCATCATATACAGCATCATATACAGTTTGCAAATCAAGCAAACTTGGGAAGGTGGAAAACAATAATAGCATCTCCCCTTCTCTTAATTTAGCTGTTTAACTTCTTAATCGTCTTAGCAAATGCAGGAGGAGATGTATAAGGAGAGCTACCTTGCCTGTTTAATTTGTAGATGTCAACTGGTTGCCTTGAAGCCAAGAAATCCATCATCCAAATGACACAAGAAAGTAGGAAATCCATCACCTAAAGCAGGTATGGAAGAACCCAGGCCTGGGGGCCAGATGCAGTCCCTTGGGCTCTTTTTTCAGCCCCCCCCCCCACCATCCTTCCTTCCTTCTCTTCCCCTCCTCCTTCCCTTCCTTTCTTGCTGCCCTCTTTCTCCCTCCCTCCTTCCTTCCTTCCTTCCCTTCCACCCTTCCTTCCTTCCTTCCTTCCTTCCTTCCTTCCTTCCTTCCTTCCATCCATCCATCCATCCATCCATCTTTCCTCCCTCCTTCCCTCTTTCTCCTTCCTTCCATCTTTCTTTCCTTCCCTTTTGTCTTTTCTTCCTTCTCCCTTCCCTCCCCCCTCCCTCCATTCCCTTACACTATTCCTTTCTTCCTTCCTTCTCTTTTTCCTTCCTCCTTGGGGATGTTTAGCTGGGAGAAGAGAAGGCAGAGAAGGAACATGAGAACCATGTTTCAAGATTTAAAAGGGTGTTCCATTGAGAAGGATGAGGGGGAAAACTGATTTTCTGCTGCTGTAGAGACCAGGACGAAAGGGAGCAATGGTTCCAAATGGCAGGGAAAGAGATTTGACTGAAAAGATTAGGAAGAATTTCATGAGAGTAAGAGCTGTTGGAGAGTGGCATAGGCTGCCTCAGAGTGTGGTGGAGTCTCCTTCTCTGGAGGCTTTTCCACAGATGCTGTCAATTGGGAGTGCTTTGATTGTGCCTTCTTGCATGGCAGGGGGTTGGACTGGATGCCCCTTGGGGGTCTCTTCCAGCTCTAGGATTCTAGATCAGGAGTAGGCAATACGGCATCTAATGGATACACTTTTTCTCTCCCATCCACCGTCTCATCCTGACCAAGGCCAATCCTTTTGGGATCCAAACGTTTCCCACCTTTCCTTCACTTTCTGCCTCCAAAAGAGAAGAGGAAGGGGAGGAAAGGGCAGGGAGGGGAATTGGGAAGAACCGCCTTTTTCCCAGAACACCCACCCTGCTCTGTCACATCATGCAGCCCCCAAGTTTAAAAGTTTGCCTGATCTAAAGCATGCAGGAAAGCCAAATGATGCCCCCAGATGGCTTGAAACTTGAATATCTTCATGAGCAACACTTCTAGTAAGAATCTCCTTCTGCATTCATGCAATCATGTCCTGCTTTTCATAATCCTCTCCTCTGTCAGACGCAAACAAAGTGTGACCATGAAACTTAAATGTTTTGATCACTGTGTCTGAAAAGCCTATCCTTTGCTCCCCATCAGCGCCTTTTAAAAATCCAGGAGCAAAAAATTTGGATCCTTCAACAAGTTCCTATTCAAACTTAAAGCTGAATTTATGAAGAACATTTTTTGCTTGAATTGTTACATTTTGGCTCTTCTGTAGTTAATGGTTTTAGGGTTTTTTTAAACTTATAGTTTGCTTTGTTGCTGCATTGATACCTTGGGAATCTACGTGACCAGAAAGCAGGGCAGACACATCCTCAAAAGTAGGGGATAGAAACATATTAATTTTCTCCCTGACCCCAACATCTTCCTTTCAAAATATTGCAAGGTGCACACATTTACAGCCAGGTGGGTATTTATCACTGCTAGCTTCATTGTTGTGGGACTACAAAAGATACACACACACACACACACACTTCTGATATTTCAGATATTTCCCAACAATGCAATTTTTCATAGTGTTTCTTGTGCTGGAGCCTCTCCTCTCTTGGGAGAAAGACTGATGTTATCCATGAGAAACTCAAGCCGATCCCACTAAATTAAAAGAGACATTATCTTTCTCTTTCTTAATCATTTTCACTTAGGGCTTGGTGAAACCATCTGTCAGGTGCTGAATATTTCATAGAAGAGGCTGCATGTCCATATTTTTAAATGTTCTGCCAAAAGCAGTGCTCACGCTACCGTGAGATGCCTGCTGCCCTTTAAAAGGGGCGACTGGCTCCAAGGCAGAATGCAAGGGACCGCTTAACAAGAAACAGGCTTGCCCTCAGTGACCTGATTAGCCTTGTCCAGCATTCAAAAGCCTTTATCTGTCAGATGAATAATGGGAAGCATAATACAGTCAGCCCTCTGTATCCAGGGATTCTGCAGCCACAGATTCAACCAACCATGGCCTCAAAATATATTTTATAAAATCCAAAATGAAATCCTTGGTTTTGCAATCTATATAAATAAAAATGTAAATGTCTGTTTGTGAATGACCTCAAATCTCCCAAAATAGTTCACCAATTGCTTCAGAATTTGGACACAATGTGTCATTCCAACAGGCGAATGTTTTTATATATACCCATACCTATTATTATATAGATGTCACAGCTATGACAGGTAAAAATATGTATTGCATCAAAAACAGCGCCATCTGCTGGATGCCCTAGCAAAACATCACGAAGTGACCCCGTCAGGGCCAGAGCCACCATTAGGGATCCACGGCCTGGGTGCCCTCCACCAAACATGCCTCCCTCCCTCCCTCCGGAGCAGAACTGGGAGGGGGAAAGGCGGCGGAGCAGGTAGGGAAATCCAGGCAGGAGACACAGGTGGCGCACATGCCTGGGGAGTGAGAGAAGGAGGCAGGCAAGGAGGTAGGCCCAGCTCCCATAGTCTCGCACCCTGCTCGGTCTTGCCTGGCAGCACCTCATGCAAGGAAGACTGGAGGCTCAGAAGGAAGGAAGGATTGAATGGTAGGCTTGGCTTTCCTTTAAGCCAACCATACTCAGTGCTTGGCACTCCTCCTCATGGCCTCCATCCCTGGTTCACTCTGCCCTGTCCCTGCCTCCAGGTCCAGCTGGAGTCAAAGGAAGGATTGAATGGTAGGAAGGGAGAGACAGATAGGAGGGAAGAAAAAGGTTTCCCCAAAACACACTGATATTTATTATATAGACCAGTATCATTGTTATTAGTATCATTATTATATACACCAGTATCATTATTATATAGATCAGGGGTACTCAAACTAAGGCCCAAGGGCTGCATACGGCCCTCCAAGGTAATTTACCTGGCCCTCGCTCAAGGTCAACCTAAGTCTGAAACAACTTGAAAGCACACAACAACAACAATCCTATCTCATCAGCCAAAAGCAGGCCTACACTTCCCATTTAAATACTAATAAGCTTATATTTGTTAAAATTGTTCTTCATTTTAATTATTGGATTGTTTTTAAGTGTTTCTTGCACTACAAATAAAATATGTGCAGTGTGCATAGGAATTCATTCATGGTTTGTTTGTTTTTTTCAAATTATAATCCGGCCCTCCAGCAGTTTGAGGGACTGTGACTTGGCCCTCCATTTTAAAAGTTTGATGACCCCGATGTAGATTATATAGGCCAATATTGTTTTCGGGGATTCTGGATGCTGAAGTCCAAAAATGTAATATTTCCAGGTTTTGCATAAAATATCAGGAAATACCAGGTCAGAACTTCCCAGTCCTGTCCATCAGTTCTTTACTGCTCTCAGGTGGAAGTGTCCAAATGCCTTAGGGTGCTTCTGCACTGTATAATGCAGTTGGACAGCATCTTAACCAACATGGCTTAACGCTATGGAATTGTAGTTCAGTGAGGCACCAGTGCTTTTGGTAGAAACACATGGCAGCAAAAGTGACATCAAACTGCATTAATTCTATAATATAGATCAGGCATGGGCAAACTTGGGCCCTCCGGGTGTTTTGACTTCAATTCCCACCATTCCTAACAGCCTCAGGCCCTTTTCTTTTCCCCCTCAGCCACTTAAGTGGCTGAGGGGGAAAAGGAAGGGGCCTGAGAGTGTTAGGAATGGTGGGAGTTGAAGTCAAAACACCCGGAGGGCCCAAGTTTGCTCATGTCTGGTGTAGATGTACCCTGACTCTTTGTGACTTTATTTTGGATCATTAAGCAAATGAGCCCAAAAGACAGAGTCATCTTAACAGTAGTGTTATGGCTTGAGAAGCACAGTGGGGAACTATAGCACCCCAGATATTTTTGCTTTGGAATTCCCATCATCCCTTACACTTCACTCGAGATGATGGGAAATGCCAGTTTCCCAGTCCCAATCTAAAAAACCCCACCAGTGGAGATTTATCCAACTCCCTATTTACTACCTTTTAGACAAAAACAGAATATGTTTTTTATTTTAGGTGAGATTTAATGTGTTGTTTTGCTGCCGTTTTAAACCAATATTTAGAATGACAGCTACTTCTATGAAGCCCAACTCACTGTGTGTCTGCCTGCCATTGTAATTTTCTTTAACTGTATTTGATTGTATTTCACTGGGATTTTTAAAAAACATAAACCACTCTGAGTGCTCTGAAAGCAGAAAATAGGTATCAAATTGCGACGACAATAACAATCACAAGAGCACTATTTTGAGTCTTATGCCTCACTTCCCTAGTTCCTCATTTACAGGTTTTTATTCCTATCCTAAAATTGTTTTTGAGATTGGGTACATAAAGGCCCATTCGTTATTGATATTGCATGTAATGAGATGACGTAGAATTCTTAAAGAATCCTCCATTGGTATGTTGGATTCATGTGTGGACCACGTCTTGCCACATCTTGCCACAGTAAATGCTGCATTTACTGATAATCTTGACTTCAGGCGCTCTCATTACTAAAAAGAAGGTAGAAAGATAAATCAGCTAGATTCTTCCCTTTCCCAAGAAATATGCTAGCTGAATCTGTAACGACTGAACAAAACGGAACTCAGGAGAAAAACACCTCAACATTTTTCATCTGTCTGCATTCATTGGTAAATTTTCTGGTGGTGCAGTGGGTTAAACTGCTGAGCTGCTGAACTTGCTGACCAAAAAGTTGATGGTTCAAATCCAGGGAGCGGGATGAGCTCCCACTGTTAGCCCTGGCTTCTGCCAACCTAGCAGTTTAAAAACATACAAATGTCAGTAGATTAGTAGGTACAGCCTTGGCAGGAAGGTAATGGCACTCCATGCAGTCATGCTGTCCACATAACCTTGGAGGTATCTACAGACAACACTGGCTCTTTGGCTTAGAAATGGAGATGAGCACCACTGTCCAGTCAGACACAACTAGACTTAATGTCAGGGTAAACCTTACCTTTATCTTTACCTTACTATGGTTTTATTCCCTAGTGTTCTATGAATATATTATTTCTCTGGGCATGAAATACACATTAAGAATGTTGGGATGTTTCCCTTGGAAATTCAAGGAAAAGGAGTTCTACCAATGTTTTCAGTAAGGTCTGTTACTGAGGAACATCTTTGGCTTCTGGAGGCATGGCTAGTCTTTTTTGACCAAAATAAAGGACTTCCAAGGTCTGGGGGGAGGTTTCATGTGCTACCTCCCTCCAAAACCTAGAATTTGCCCACTCCTCTTTTAGAGGGAGTTAATGATAGAGTTTCTTAAAAGCAAAATACTTGAGTCCCCTTGGGCAGATAGGTGCAGAATATAAATAAAGTTGTTATCTGAACACAACAAGATTAGTACACAGCAAACAAAATCACTATGCTGGTTGTTGTATTGGAGCCTTATTATTATTATTATTATTATTATTATTATTATTATTATTATTATTTACACAACAAGATTAGTACACATCAAACAAGATCACTGTGCTGTCTTTTTTTTATTGAATCACATGTCAAACACTTACCAAGTGCCTAGGACTGTGTGATATATCAGTGAATAATGCATGCAGATCCGAGTTTTTGTCAAAGCCAATTGTTTTTAAGTGCAGGCCAAGGTCTTTAGGCACTGCACCCAGTGTGCTGATCACCACTGGGATCACCTTTACTGGCCGTTTGATCTTTAAATCCTTGTACCATGTCAGCTTTTCCAGTTGCTTCTCGTCAATTCTGCTGTCATCTGGGATTGCAGCATTGACAAGCCATACTTTATTTTTCTCCACGGTAGTGAAGTCAGGAGTATTGTGCTACAAAACACTTGTCAGTCTGAATTCAGAAGTCCCAGACTAGTTTGATGTGTTCATTTTCTGTAACTTTTTCAGGCTTGTGATCCCACCAGTTCTTTGTCACAGAAGGGTGGTATTTGTGGCAAAAGTTCCAATGAATCATCTGAGCAACGGTGTTGTGCCTCTGCTTGTAGTTTGTCTGATTATTATTATACTAAAATTATTATTATACATCATCATCATTATCATCATCATTATTCTAAAGGCACAAATTCAAACAGTGCCACCAAAGAGGAAATCAAACAAATAACACACATTTGTGGGGAAAAGGTTCGTAAAGCTAACGTGGAAAATGAGCTCAGGTTTACCACAGAGATTAAAACAATAAAAAGGGGGTCTTTGTTTATGTCAGTAGAAAAAGGAAGAAAAAGGAAACGGTAGGGCCTCTGTGAGGAGAAGGTGGTGAAATGCTAACAGAGGATAGGGAAAAGGCAGAGCTGTTCAACATTTTCTTTGCCTCAGTCTTCTCCCAAAAGGAGATCAGTGTTCAACCTGAGCAATAGGAAGTGGATGAGGTAATAGGAGAAATGCAACCAAAAATAGGTAAAGGAGTAGTCCAGGAATACCTGGCTACTCTAAATGATTTCATGTCTCCAGGGCCAGATGAACTACAACCAAGAGTATTGAAGGAACTAGCAGAAGTCATTTCAGAACCACTGGCAATATTTTTTGTGAGTTCTTGAAGAACAGGAGCAGTCCCAAAAGACTGGAGGAGGGCAAACGTTGTCCCTATATTCAAGAAGGGAAAAAAGAGGATCCACACCATTACCATCCAATCAGCCTGACAGCAATAACAGGAAATATTCTGTAGCAGATCATTAAGGAAGCAGTCTGCAATCACTAGAAAAAATGCTGTTATCACTAAAAGCCAATATGGATTTCTCAATAACAAGTCAAGTCAGACTAATTTTATCTCTTTTTTCGACAAGGTTACAAGCTTGGTAGACGTTTCACTAGTCTTTTAAAATTCGGAATGTTGCAAGCCATTGGTCTGTGATACAAATCATATCCTCCACCTATCTACTCTGTTATTTCCTTAGCACTGGGGGGAAAAAATCAAGATAACAGCAAAAAGCTCAAGTGTGAGTCAGAACTTGAACCCTGTAATACTTCTTTTGGGTCTTTTAGTAAGGCCACACCTCTTTAAGTACAACATCATTTTTATTTATCTTGTATCAAAAGCATTGCATACAGAAGTATAAAACTGATAAAAATAGTAGCACAAGCAGCTAAATAATTTTTGACCAAAAATGGGCAACAGCGACCTCATTGTCTGTAGCTTTAATCAATTCTTCCTCTGTGCATGAGGCAGGGCATTATGGACAAGCATTCAGATGCTGAGCTGTTTGTTCTACTCTACAGTCGCACAAGGATTCTTCTAGGGGATTCTTCTAGGGGTTTTTTCCCATGTCAGGAGCAACTTGAGAAACTTCAAGTCACTTATGTTGTGAGAGAATTGGCCGTCTGCAAAGACGTTGCCCAGGGAATGTCCAGATGTTTTGGTATTTTATCATCCTTGTGGGAGGCTTCTCTCATGTCCCTGAATGGGGAGCTGGAGCTGACAGAGGGAGCCCATCCATGCTCTCCCCAAATTCAAACCTCCGACCTGTCGGTCTTTAGAACTGCCGACACAAGGGTTTAACCCAATGCACCACCAAGAGCTCATTTTCTTCTAGGTAGAATTACATTAGGAAAGGTGTGATGTTCTCTCACTTGGGATACATTTACACTGCCAAATGAATGTGGTTTGACACCACTTTAACTGCTATGACTCAATGTTATGGAATCATGGGTGTTATAATTTCACAAGATCTTTAGCTTTCCCTGCCAAAGAATGATGGGGCCTCAACACAATTCTATAGCATTATGCCATGAAAGTTAATGTAGTGTCAAACTGCCTTCATTTGACAGTGTAGATGCACTTTAAGTTACAATAATGCAATAACTCAATTATTTATTTATTATTTATTTATTTATTTCTTGCACTTATAGACCGCCACTCTCAGCCCTGAGGCGACTCGTGGCGGTGTACAACAACATAGAAAAGACGGCTTACAATAAATCAACAATACACAACATTCTACTACTACATAACACTACTATACTAAAAATCCGCTTCGTCGTATCATAGGGTCACAATCCATCTCATAATCGCAGTCCATTCCGGTCGTCAATTCCAGTAACATAGCACTCAATTGAAGGCCATCTCGAAGAGCCATGTTTTCAGGCCCTTACGAAAGGCCATAAGGGAAGGCGCCTGTCTAACTTCAGCAGGGAGGGAGTTCCAAAGCCGGGGGGCCACCACCGAGAAGGCCCGCTCTCTCGTCCCCGCCAGACGTGCCTGTGAGGCAGGCGGTACCGAGAGAAGGGCCTCCCCAGATGATCTCAAGGTCCTCGTGGGCTCGTAGGCCGAGATGCGGTCCGCAAGGTATTATGCCTTAGTTGTTGCAAAAAGCAATTAATCACATATAACCAGTTGTTGTGACTACTTAATTCCAAAACTCTGAGCAGGTCAAAGGGAATTATAAACTCACCTGGGGGTCTTTCAATCTAGAGAAGTCTGGATTCAAGTAGAAAATGATCCCTTCCTTGGCACCATCTAGAGTGACACCTCGAATCAACAGGACAAATAGCATCACATAGGGGAAGGTGGCAGTGAAGTAGACTACCTGCGAAAAAAATGAGCAACATGAAAAAAAAAGTATGAGGGAAGGGGACCAGCAATCAGACCAAGCGAATGATAATGATATGTATTACACTTGCCTTTCCTAACTTGGTAATCTCCAGTTGTGTTAGATTACAACTCTCAGCACTAGACTGTAACTCCCAGAAATTTGGAAATTATAGTCCAATGTCTTTGGAAGGAACCAACTTTAGACCTTTAGACAAAATACCTTTAAAGTCTAACTTGCTCACACTAAAATTGTATTTAGTGGGAAGCAGGAAAAAATCATAGTATGTTTTTTTCCTTGGGGAGATAGGACAAAATATAAATAAAGTTTTATTATTGTTATTATTTCATTATTCACATTCTTCATATCTCCACTACTCATTGATTCTGCTTTATTGATATCCCACCTTTCCCTCACATTGGATCCCGAAGTGGTTTATGGTATAAGTTAAAACAAAATAGTTAAAGTGATTTGTGATAAAAAAAAAATATTTAAAATGCATTAAACAATCAATCCAGTTAAAACATGAATTAAAAGCAATTAAAAAGATATGAAATACAAATAAACATCACCTGCCCTATACAGCCTTCCACCTAGCCAGTTAAAAGCTAGAAACTTGTTTGAACAAGAAGTTCTTTGTCTGCTGGTGAAAAGAAAACAGAAAAAAGGCCAACTGTTCAGTAGTTTGGAGCAGTCCCACAGAAGGCCCCTCAAATATGAGAGCAAGACCCTTTCTTGAACATCAGACTTGAATAGGTGAATATGAGCTTTCAAGTAACCCATACTTGCTAGAAATATGTATGCATCACAGAACCAGCATCCATGTCTCAAAAAAAAAACCCCAGAGAGACAACAAGGGCCATCTAGTCTAACCACCTGCCATGCAGGAAAAGCACAATCAAAGCACCCCTGACAGATGGCTACCAAGCTTTCAAAAAAGGAGCCTTGAACATGATCCAAGGCAGTGAGTTCTATTGTTAACCAGTCCTTACAATCATGAAGTTTTTCCTAATGTCCAAATCTCTTTTCCTGTAAATGTGGCCTCAGATTCCTACCTAACTTCTTTCAATCACAAAGTTGTGAAAACCTATTCTTCTGTACTACAGATTATAGAATCTTTCAGAATTGCCCATGGTGGCTGGCTGAGGGATTCTGAGAACAGTTTTCAAAAGAAGTAACTTTTTGAAGTCCTGCTTTCTCCCCTTCCCAGTGCTCCCCATTTTCCTGTTTGTCCAAGTCAGGCTTCCTTGTCAGCGGAGCACAAAATCTGCTGGGGAATTTAATATAGATTTCAAAGGAGTTCTCCAAGGTGCTGAATACTATCTCCAAAACATCAATTACCTTGGACAGCTTTTAAACTTCAAAGCAGAAGTCACTAGCGAACTGGCATGGAAACCAGCAGCTCTTCATTATTTCCAAGGAGTACCTACTTATTCCAGTTGGACCCTAACACTCCCCCACTCTACTTCCGTCCTGCTCATTCTTGGATACGAGGAGGCTGACAGGATAGATCAATACATCTGAAGAATTAACAGGCACAAGATTGCTCTTACTTTGCCAGTGGACTTGACTCCTTTCCAGATGCAGAAGTAACAGATGATCCAGGCAAGTAAGAGGCAGAGTGCCAACTCCCACCGCACGGTGCCCAGATTATGTATGCCGTCCGTTATTTTCAAGGCTCGATTCCTGCCAGTGCAGATGGAAAACGGGAAGGTTGATGTCCCAGCATAGCTTTTCCCTGCCAGCCCACATCAGCCCTTGCCTAATTAATTTTCACCTACTCCCTATGGCATATTTGACTTAGATGCCATCATTTCTAACACAGAGAGGGATCTGAGCAAGTTGACTGAGTCTAAAAAGCTTATGATACCAATTTCATTCTCTCTGTTTTGTCTCTAAGGTGCTATCAGATCCCTTTGCATACTGATTTTCCAGACTAACATAGCTATGTCTTTGGATTCTACACAAGTACGCAGTTACTTCTCTTCCATCTCTACTTTTATTCTCTATGCCTAGTTTTAATTTCTGATTAGTCTGGGCAATCAATATTTCCAACTTAATCTGTAGAAAATAACGACCTTCTCAAACCTCTACTAGTTGTTTTTATGTATATAATTCAGATTTCTTACTGTATTGTATATGTATTGGTATGCAATTTTACTTTAACTCTCTGTTGTGGGAGGGGCTGCAGACTATATGATCAGAACTGAACTTGTTCAGGACTCAGACTCCATTTTAGAACAGCTAAGCTTCAGACTTCAATGTAGGAACTGTATGCTTTTAAGAAGACAGTAGGAACTGTTTGTTTTGGACTTCAGTAGGAACAGTATGCTTAGAGTCTTCATTGGATTTTCAGACTATTCAGAGACTCTATTAGACTCTCGGAACAGAGAGATGCTTTGGACTATGGACTATTGATTCTAAGAATGATGCTCTGTGTTACCTACACAGAGAAACTACTTCAAATCTACTTGTAACTGGATTGATAAGCAAAGTACCTGTATGCTGAATACACAAAGTTTGTGAGTATAAGAACTATGTAACTTTTAAAGAAAACTACTTAATTTTGTCCCTTGATTTAAAGACAAATATATTTTAAGTGAAAGTAGATGTTTTGGGGCAACTAAAAGGAACACTTCTGAAGTTCTGCTGAATATATATGTATGTGTGTGCATGCGTGTGTTTATGCATTGGCATATCTTTGTCCCTAACAGTTCAAAGACATGATTAGGTACATCAGTTTAGCAGATGAGAAACTTAGTTGCCTTGCATGAATGCTGGTGAATGCCATTTCCTCTAAAGTTTATGACTCGATTCCTGCTTTTTACCAAGAGGTTTTGGCATCATTTTTCAAAAGGTTGTGACTTCTAACAAAGTCATGCCTTTCCAAAGATCATAAAATTTCCAAAAAGTTCTGGAGATTTCCATTTTCCAAAATAATCTCCAAATCAGCCCTCTCCATCATATTGCATCCTTGGCTCTCTTTTGGAAAAGACCTCGTTCCTTTCATTTTGAGAAGGGGGGAACCCATTTATACCCTCTGAATGAGAAGAAACAGCAAACTCATTCCATATTTAGACTATAGTTTTTATTTTCTTTTAATGCAAGATCAGTAAAGCTATTTCAAGCTGGGCTGTCTCAATAGTGGCATGGTTTGTATTGAGAAATGACTTCCATGCAAGCAGGATGGTCCAGCACGCTGCTCCAATATCAGAGCACTGAATGGGTTACTAAATTTACACTGCTGCCCTTCTCTGTTTTTCCAGCGCATTTTCTTACTCTGAGACAACCTAGTGGAAAAGGTCATGTGGGCAGTCCTTTGAACACTCTTTTGTTTGAGCTATACAGAAGGCAGATTCAAAAGTTTCCTCCCTGCAAATTCTTTTGAAAAAAAAGAATCTGAACTATCAAAATGCAACATACTCCCAGAACTCGATGACTGGGGAGGTGGAGCCAGATGTCGCAGTCACATTTGGCAAATTGGAGCTGTTCGGCGAGGCCACACAGCGCTCTGCAAAAAGAAGAATCATACTGTTGGAAAGGAATTCTGGAATGATCTGGTCTAGCCCTCAGTACGGCTGAGGTCCTGCAATGCAATATAGCTGTGCTTTTCAGGCAATGTGATTTGGGGAAGGCCAGCAATTATGTTTTCCCCAATGGCCGGGAATGGCAGTACATTCTGTACTTCTTGCATTCCCCTTTCTTTTCTGGAAACTTGTCAGGGTTCAGCAGCTACTGGTTCAGAGGCTGACACTATCCAGGGACCACTACTAGCACTGAACTACAGAACTCCAAGAGACTGTGGGCTGTCCAACTTTGATTTCAGCACCTCCAGCATAGGAAAGTCCAGCACTTCTCAAGGCAGTTTTCCCCCCCATTCCAAGAAAGCAAGCCTGTCCAAGCATGATCAAAAATTGGAAAAGTGTGAAATGGGGGTGGGGTGTGAATTGAACCTCAGCTCTTGATTCCCTCATTCAAGAGCTTCAGTCCAAAAAAGCACTTTTTCCAAGTTCTGGTCTGACTGAGAGTACAAGTATACCGCCATAGTTCAAGGCTATGGAATCCTGGGAGTTGTAGTTCTACTAGAATCATAGAGTTGGAAGAGACCTCGTCGGCCATTCAGTCCAACTCCCTGTCAGGTAGCAGGAAAATCACATTCAATGCACCCAGACAGATGACCATCCATCCTCTGTTTAAAAGCCTCCAAAGAGGGAGCCTCCACCACCTTCCAGGGCAGAGAGTTCCACTGCTGAACAGTTCTCACAGTCAGGAAGTTCTTCCTAATTTTTTGGTGGAATGCCCTTTCCTGTAGTTTGAAGCCATTGTTCCACATCCTAGTCTCTAGGGCAGCATAAAACAAGTCTGCTCCCTCCTCCCTATGACTCCCCCTCACACATACTAGGTCTTTAGCCTTCTCTGCCAAAGTGTGATGCTGCCTCACCAAGCTACAACTTCCAGGATTCCATAGCCTTGAGCCATAGCATTTAAAGTGGCAGCAAATTGTATTAATTCCACAATGTAAGTGTACCCTAAGCCTCTTTTAAAACATTTCCCTCCTTTCGCTGGATTCCTCCTGTCCAGAATTCCAGAAGGACAAGGCAGCTTCTTCAACATGATGACAACCAGATGTTTGTGGCATGCAAATTAATGTTAAGTGAGGCAAATGCATTTAAAATGGTGATTCCCAAATTCTAGTCCTCCAAGGGTTTTGAATTTCACCTCCCGGAAACCTCAGCTGCCTTGGACATTGGTCAAAGATTCTGGGAGCTGAAGTCCAAAACACCTGAAGGATCAAGGTTTTGGAAACACCGATTTGAAAGAACAATCCCAGATTCACCTCCTTCTCCCTCTCCACATTCACCTTCTGGCATTGCTTTGCAGAGACTCGAACTCATTCTTATGTAAATATACTCCTATAAGAGCATTTATCTTTACAGTCCCCAAAGATGGGATTATACTATGAAAGAATCAAGGACTAATGGTTGTTCTAGATGCTAATGAAGGGAACTTAGCGGCCAAAAAGAAAAAAGAAAAGTGATAGAAGAAAGCACAGAATGTTAAGCATGAGGAAAAATAAACAACTTGGAGCGAAGATACTCATTGGAGTGATTTTCCAAACACGTATGTGTATGGATACTAATAGAGATCCTTTAGAAACATACAGGACTAAGCTAAGTTGACCACTTGAGTATCTCCAGAAAAAGAAAGCACAGCCCCAGAAAGAAAAAGAAAAGAAGACACATTTGCAGCCAATTTGCATGTAATAATGTAGGTCTATAAGTGCAAATTTGGAAAAGATTGCTTTTCTGTTTCAGCAGGCCTTCTGACTGCCCAAGGGAAAAAGTCTTGCATAATATGCTTTACTTTATTTCTTGTTCTCTTTATAATGGCTGTGGTCAGCATCCTGTATGGGACACAGAGCTGCACTCCAAACCCCGAAAAGTGAAGGGATTCAGTGATACTGGCAAACAGGGAACAGCGGTGAAGCGATGTATCCAGTCCTTGGCCAACATTGAGTCAATGGACAGCAAGCAGAAGCAGGGACATCTAGGAAACTCCTCATCACACAATGGCAGGAGAAGGATAGATTAGACATGCCATCCTTCAACACCCCACTCACCAGCAGCACAGAACTTGGAACAGTGGCCTGTTTTTTAAGGTGAGTTTAACAGGCATTTGTGCTTTAGCAACTGTGCCCAAATCATAAATGCTCCTAAAACCCACCTTAGAAGCCAGGCTGCTATATCATCTGATTGAATATGAAAGAAGTGCAGGATGCCAGCCTATGCTGGCAACTGGTTTTAATTGTATTGTGAGTGCAACTTCATTTTTAACTTCTTAATGAGACAAATGTTGCCTATGTTTGTTTTAACTGTTGGAAGACATATTGAATCCAATATAGGTGGGAATAGATATAAATTGTTGTTGTCGCTGTTGTTCTTGTTCCTGTAGTGGAAAAGACTGTGATTATGTGATAATTTGAGGATGGATGTAGTTCTGCAGGAAGTCGTTTCCTTTGTAGATAGAAGATCCAAGGCTCAAGCCCTGGTGTCATCAGATAAGGGTCAAAAAAATCTTGCTTGAAATGTTAAAAACCTGCTCTCAGTCAACAATACTGGGCTGGGTAGTGTTGTGATCTTGCTTGCTGTGTACTAGTCTTGTTGTGTTTCAAATAAGAAGAAGAAGAGGAGGAGGAGGAGGAGGATTTAAAGATCTATATCACCTATAGGTGATTATGAGATAATTTGAGGATGGATGTAGTTATGGTGTAAGTCATTTCCTTTGTAGCTAGAAGAGGGCTCAAGCCCTGGTGTCGTTAGATAAGAGTCCAAAAAATCTTGCTTGAAATGTCAAAAACCTGCTCTCAATCACCAATACTGGGCTGGGTGGTCCAATGGGCTGGGTAACCCAATAATAATAATAATAATAATAATAATAATAATAATAATGCCTAAAGACCTTGGCCTGAACACATCAAACTACTCTGGGACTTCCGAATTCAGACTCACAGACTTTTGGAGCACAATACTCCTGACCACATGATTATGGGAGGAAATAAACAAGTATGGATCGACGATGTTGCAATCCCAGGCAACTGCAGGCTTGAGGCAGGATACAACATCATTACTACAAGAAATAAAACACTATTAAAAACATCCAACCAGATGTTGGATAAGTATAAGGCACTTACTATGATATGAACGTATTAGTAGTAGTAGTAGTAGTAGTAGTACTAATAGTAGTGGTAGTAGTACTAGAAGTAGTAGTACACAGCAAACAAGAACACTATGCTGTTTTTTGTATTCAATCACATGTTAGACACTTCCCAAGTGTCTAGGACTGTGTGATGTATCGGTGAATAATGCATGCAGATCCGAGTAGGATGGCCTTTTGCAGCTGACAGATGGTAATTTTGTCAGCAATGATTGGTTTTAAGTGCAGGCCAAGGTCTTTAGGCCCTGCATCCAGTTTGCCGATTACCACTGGGATCTCCTTGACTGTCTTGTGCCTGTCTTTGCAGTTCGATCTTTATATCCTCGTATCGTGTCAGCTTTTCCAGTTGTTTCTCGTCAATTCTGCTATCGCCTGGGATATCATCATCATCATCATCATAATCATCATAATCATCATAATCATCATCATCATCATCATCATCATCTATACTCCACCTTTCTCCCTGTGGGGAACTCCAGGCAGCTAAGATTACACACCTGGCAGGTTTAAATGGTGCAATATAAAAGTTAAAAAGCAATTAAATTGTAGCAGTAGGGTAGGTGCCTGCTCAATCTAATAATGGGAAACCTCAATCCACCTGCTCTCTTATCTTTATCACTTCTACAGAAAGGAAACTGTCCTCCAACAGTCCTCTCTAAATATATGCGAAGTCCTAATTGCAGAGACACCAGCAGAGAAGGATTTTATGGCAGAAATTCAGGACCCCCCTTAACAGAACAAGCCAGAAGGTCTCCAAACACAGCCATGCTTTGAAGTAAGGCAGGCCAGGCACATTATCATTTGAAGGTGTGCATATCTATAAAGTCATTTGATCCAGCCTCTAAAATTATCTAAATGCATCAGTGCTAACCTATAATATGAGAAGGGGGGGGGAACTATCTATAGAACTTGAACAAGAACCCAAGCCTTCAGACGTATAATGTAAGAACAAGACAAAAGAGAGTCCAACATACTCACTGTTAGAGGAAAAGAGTGAAGGTAAGTAGGCCGAACAGAGCAAGAGGCACACAAAGGTCAGTAGCATCTCTGAAGATCGGCAACCAAAGGCTTGCTAAACAAAGCTGCGGTTCATAGACTCACTTGAGGGGACTTTGGTCTTTTTAACTTTTTGAAAATAAGAGGTAGACAAGAGGTCTGTGATGTATTTGATTGCTAAGCAGGAAGGTCAGGGGTGCCTCTTTCTCCACCCATTCATAGGTTCAGGAGCTTATGATCAGCTCTCAGAAAGGTTGTTCATAGACCCACAAAGACTTCTAAGAATAAAAACTAGACACACAGGGAACAAGTCCACCAGACTAAGTGAGGAATTGGATAGAAGGATTTGTAATGTGCACAACATGTCCCTCATTCCTCCCACAAAATACTATAAGCAAGGTAAAGGTAAAGGTAAAGATAAAGGTTTTCCACTGACATTAAGTCCAGTCGTGTCCAACTCTGTGGGTTGGTGCTCATCCCCACTTCTAAGCCAAAGAGCCAGCGTTCTCCATAGACACCTCCAAGGTCATGTGGCCAGCATGACTTCATGGAGCACTATTACCTTCCCGCCAGAGTGGTACCTATTTATCTACTCACATTTGCATGTTTTCGAACTGCTGGGTTGGTAGAAGCTGGGGCTAACAGCGACAGCTCACGCCACTCACGAGATTTGAATCTGCAACCTTTCATTCAGCAAGTTCAGCAGCCCAGCTATTTAACCCACTGCACCACCGGGGCCTCCTTATAAGCAAACGATGTTGCATTCCATCTATCCCATGTATATGTAAGATGGAGTGGCAAGTACATTTTACCTCAGGTGGTCAGGAGAGGTGATATGATACACATACATTGGTCCTCAGTTAGAAATGAGTTGTTTAGGGAGTTGAGATTCAGCAGAAACAGTTAAAAGATTGCTGCTGCTGCCCCTTAGCAAGAGAGGGAGTTGCCTAATGGCAGGGCAGGGAGTTGCATATCTGTGATTGAAATGACTACACAGTAGCTCCTTTCAACAAGTTTTATTCGCAAATGCAAGGCTGCAGATGCTGTTCAGTTTTTAGAAAGCTTACAAACCTTGAAAGCACCAGATTCCATCTAATCTTGGAAGCCAAGTAGGGTTAGGCCTAGGTCATTCTTGGATGGAGGACCACCAAGGAATACCAGGTCCTTCAGAGGAAGGCAATGGCAAACCATCTCTGAGTATTGCTCACCTAAGAAAGCCCTATGAAATTGGTAAAGGTGTCATAAGTGTTTAAGCCTTCAAAGTAACACATAGGTAAAGATAACAGTTTCCCCTGACATTAAGTCTAGTTATGGCCGACTCTAGGGGGTGGTGCTCATCTCCATTTCTAAGCCAAAGAACCAGTGTTGTCCATAGACACCTTCAAGGTCATGTGGCCAGCATGACTACATGGAGTACCATTACCTTCCCGCAGAAGCGGTACCTATTGATCTACTCACATTTGCATGTTTTCAAACTGCTGGGTTGGCAGAAGCTGGGCCTAACCGCAGGAGCTCACCCCATTCCACAGATTCAAATCGCCAACCTTTCGGTCAGCAAGTTCAGTACCTCAGCGGTTTAACCCGCTGCACCACCGGGTGGCCATGTACACATACACATATACAAAATGCATTAGCTGGAGTAAGAGAATGAGAGCTGGCAGAGCCAATCTCCCAAAAGGCAAAGATGTATGTTTCACAAATGACAGTCATACAATGGCCCAAGTCAAAAGATTAGGCAGAGTGAGGCAGAAACCTGATCAGTCTCAGAGAATCAATGAATTTCCTGGGCTAGAAATGGGGTCAGATAGAGACTGGAATCCTGTTGGTGTCTACCAGTTGCATAAGGGCCATGATTGGGCATTTTGTCCAATGGAGAATGTTTGCATTCACTTTAAGGCATGCCCACACAAATGCTAATGCATATTTGAGAGTGCATTCAGTTGCATAGCTTTCCCATACAACATAAGGATTGTGCAGCAAATACAATACTTACCACTGTATATAGAGATTCTCACTACGCTGCTCCAGTGATTTCAGCTTTGTCTTTTCAAACTTGAGAAACAAAAATATTTGGAGCTCTGACCCATAAAGGACAATAAAAACAACCACAGCTCCGTGTTTTTCCACAAAGGCATCAAATATAGATAAAGTTTCCATACCTGTATTCCAGGTATTATTGCAGCTGGCCCAAGGGAGAACAGCAGCAAAGGAGTTGAATAGGTAAAACAGGGCCCAAGCCAAAATGACAATATAGTAGATATTCAGGTAGGATTCGATGACTTGCGAGGCATATCCAATTCCTAAGTGGGAGACAGACAGACAGACAGAGATGAGGATGTTCAAACAGAAATAGACTTTAAAAACCGGCACAAAAGTGGTCCATTTGATCTAAAGCAGGTATGAACAAACTTCGGCCCTCCAGGTGTTTTGGACTCCAATTCCCACAATTCCTAACAACCTACCGGCTGTTAGGAATTGTGGGAGTTGAAGTCCAAAACACCTGGAGGGCTGAAGTTTGCCCATGCCTGATCTAGAGGCAGCTATTGACTTCTATGTCAATTGGACAGTGAGTTTCTCTTAAACTTTACTACTGCTTTTTAATCCTATGAGCACTTAGATGCCTCCATAGACTTTTGGACACTTTCTCAATTGACATTCACTGTTTTCTCTCATGATTTTCGAGAGTCTTTCCCCCCTGCCGAGCTGGTCAACATCTCTAGGCCGCAGCGGATGCATTATGCATGAGAAAGCAGCGATTCACAAGCATTTCTAGAGTGCCTTTCCACGTTGTCAATCTCAAAACACTTCAAATGGGACTAAATTGATATAATTCAATGATGCCATTTAAAGTGGATGGTTATTATAGTTCTTCTGATGGGGAAAATTGGTGTACATACATATTATTTACACGCCTCCATACTTCACTGTACTTTCAACTTTTCTGGGTTCAGGATGTTTCTTTAGGTAAAGAAGTCTACTCTGCAAAAAACATCATGTCATCTTCGGGCCCGTCATTACATTTCCATGCTGCAAGTCGCTTTTGGTCGCTTCTGGTGTGAGAGAATCAGCTGACTACAAAAGATGTTACCCAGGGGATGCCCGGATGTGTTGCAATCCTGTGGGGAGGCTTCTCTCCTGTTACCTGGGAGCATTGCAGCACTTCAGCCCTCCAGGTGTTTTGGACTTCAACTCCCACAATTCCTAACAGCCGGTAGGTTGTTAGGAATTGTGGGAGTTGGAGTCCAAAACACCTGGAGGGCCGAAGTTTGTTCATACCTGCTTTAGATCAAATGGACCACTTTTGTGCCGAGCATTGCAGCACACCCATATATGCAAAGGCATATATGGACATGAAGGCTAATGTTGCTTGCCAAACCCAATGATAATAAACCCACTGAATCAATGGAATCTAAAATGCAGATATATGCTTTTCACCTTAAGAACAGACAAGCATCTCAAGCTCTGGGGAATACCTAGGAAGGAATCCCAGTTGAGCATTGCAACACACCCAAATACCTGGGAGTTACTCTGGACCGTTCTCTGACCTATAAGAAGCACTGCTAGAATATCAAGCCAAAAGTGGGCACTAGAAACAATATCATACAAAAGCTGACTGGCACAACCTGGGGATCAGAACCAGGCACAGTGAAGACATCTGCCCTTGTGCTTTGCTACTCTGCTGCTCAATACACATGCCCATTATGAAACATTTCTCACCATGCTAAAACAGTGGATGTGGCTCTTAATGAGACATGCCACATTATCACAGGATGTCTGTGCCCTACACCACTGTTTAGTCGGTATTGCACCCCCTGACATCTGCCAGGAAGTAGCAGCCAATAATGGAAGGACCAAGGCAGTGACATCTCTGGACCATTCCCTGTTCAGATATCAGTCTGCATGCCAATGCCTTAAATCAAGAAATAGTTTTCTAAGATCTACAGAGATAATCGCAGGAACACCTCAGCAAACAAGAGTCCCAAAGTGGCAGGCTCAAACTTGGAACCTCAATCAATGGCTGATACCTAATGAGAGACTCCCTCCTGGGCACACAGAAGACTGGGTGACTTGGAAGGTGCTGAACAGACTGCACTTTGGCACCATGAGATGCAGAACTAACCTTAAGAAATGGGGCCACAAAGTGGAGTCCACGGCATGCAAGTGTGGAGAAGAGCAACCCACAGACCACAAACTGCAATGCAACCTGAGCCCTGCTACATGCACAATGGAGGGCCTTCTTATAGCAACACCAGAGGCACTCCAAGTGGTCTGATACTGGTCAGAGGACATTTAATAAAATGCCAAGTTTTTAAACTTTGTGTTTTTTTAAAAAATATATACATTACAACTGTTTGCTCCTGGTATGATATATAAATAAATTACATTTCCAGAGAAAATAAACAGCCATTGGGATCTAACCAAGAATGTGTACCCAATCTAGTCTGCATGCTTATAACTGTTTTTAGCTGAAAATGTTGACCACTTTGACTGCTTCATCCCCCAAGGAGCTGTCAGCCTGCAAAGCAGCCAGGAAAGAATTATTTTCAGAAGAAAAATATTCCAAGCCCAATATTCCAATGCCTCTAGAACATGGCCATATAGCCCAAAAAACCCCACAAGAACTGAGTGATTCCAGCCATGAAAGCCTTCGACAATACATTCCAAGCCCACTTTAGACCATCTACTTTTCCTGCAAAATAAAACCAGAGATATTATTGCCTGGTCCAATTTCACTTCCTAAGAAGCAAATGGAGCATTTCACACCCCATATTATTTATTATTTATTATTATGTTTATTTATATCCTGTTTTTTTCTCCACAGGGAGACTCGAAGTGGCTAAGTCAAGATGAAAAAAAGTCAAGATGCAAAAAATATTCAAATTATATTGACACATGAAGTGAAAAAAAACTTCACAAATACCTTTTCCCATTCCTATCTGTAAAGCAGTGCAATCATAGCCATAAGCATACATACATACATATCTACCTCACTGGGTCGAATGATGGGGTTGGCCTTGCACAATGACCAAGTCATAAAATTCTTCAACTCTCCCTCCTCTATTTTTTTTATTATGTCAGAAGCAACTTGAGAAACTGCAAGTCACTTCTGGTATGAAGGAATTGGCCACCTACAGAGACGTTGTCCAAGGGATGCCCATCCTGTGAGAGGCTACTCTCATGTTCCTGCATGAGAAACTGAAGTTGACAGATGGGAGCTCACCCCGTCTTGCAGATTTGAACTGCTGACCTTCAGGTCAGCAGTTCAGCCGGCACAAGGAATTAACCCATTGCACCACCGTGGCTCCTTCCCTACTGATTATCCTAGATGCTAAAAGGATCCAGAAAAGAAATGGAGAAACAAAAGAGAGCTAAAAAATGAAGATACAGCTACTGTTTGCTTAACATCTGAAAACCACATTTCCTTTATGAATCAATTGTTGCCAACTGCATCTCTGATCTTGAACAAAAACACTGTGTGCCAAAAAACTTTCTTTCTTCTTCTTTTCTGACATGACTCATCTAACAGATAGATTCTGCTTTATTTTTGGACCCATAAAGGTCAGAAATTCCTGGAAGGGATTTGTACTGTGCTGAAAAAGTGGTGGAAGTATCATGTGAAAGATGTTTAAAAAACAGAGAGGAATGTGCATATTGTGCATTTAAAAGCATTCCAAGATTTTTCATATTTCATTTTGGAACTGCACATTATATATTAACCATTCACTTATTTAGCATGCTGCTATGCTTAGCTAACCTTGCCCTCAGACCTGCCTCATTCTGAATGAAATAGATGTTGGCACGTGTTTGCAAAGGCATATATGGACCTGAAGGCTAATGTTGTTTGCCAATCCCAATTATAATAAACCAACTGAATCAATGGCATCTAAAATGCAAATGTGTGCTTTTCACCTTAAGAACAGACAAGCATCTCGAGCACTGAGGATTACCTGGGAAGGAATCCCACTGGCGCATTGCAGCACACCCACATACCTGGGAGTTACCCTGGACCGTGCTCTGACTTACAAGAAGCACGGCTTGACTATCAAGCAAAAAGTGGGTGCGAGAAATAATATCATACGAAAGCTGACTGGCAAAACTTGAGGATCGTAACCAGACACAGTGAAGACATCTGTCCTTGCGCTTTGCTACTCTGCTACTGAATATGCATGTCCAGTGTGGAATACATCTCACAGGTATGGAACAGTGGGTATGGTCCTTAATAGGACATGCCGCATTATCACAGGATGTCTACAAGAGAAATTATACTGTTTAGCTGGTATTGCACCACTTAACATCCACCGGGAAGTAGCAACCAGAAATGAAAGGACCAAGACAGTGACATCTCCAGCCCATCTTCTGTTCAGATATAAGACAGCATGCCAATGCCTTAATTAAAGAAATAGCTTTCTAAGATCTACAGAGATACTCGCAGGAACTCCTCGGCAAGCAAGTGTTATATCCCAGAGCAGGACCACCTCTGTCCTTAAACACCAAGCCAGTATAGCAAAATCAGCAAGCAGTTTATTGAAGGATATATGTAAGCCAAGCAATAAAAATGATACCATTATTTCAAAACAGTGTTTTCCAAAGTTAACAAATAGTCCATGAACTTCAAGATACGAAGATAAAAACGCAAGATCCAAGGATGCAAAATCCAAAAGAATTAGCTAGCATGGAAATCCAATACCCAGAACAGTAACCTGGCAAAAACTTGAAACATGAAACTAGAAATCTACTTAGAAACAAAACTATCACGAAAGTTCAAGGTTGATGAGTCTGGGCTAAAATCCTTTCCCTGCCTCATATAAAGCTTTTCCTTTTCTATGAAATGAAAGGAAACCATTCCATTTGCCTTTATATCCACATGCATAATGGAGGACCTTCTTACAGCAACACAAGTGGCCAGCTTCAGGTCAAAGGACATTTAGTATATTGCCAACTTTGTGCTTTTACATACATTATAACTGTACCTTCAATTCACTTCTGACACAATACATATATATAATAGAATTTACACAAGTATTCAGTACTGGGTTGAGTGGATGTACTACTCTAATTGAAATGACCAGTTGGATTCAGACCACAGCACTCTGAAAGTTTACAAATGTATAGGAAATGTACATTTCCAATTTCTGACCATAATGGAATCTCCTGAAAAGAGTATAAAGAATGGGTGGTTTGTGTGTGTGTCAGGAGCAACTTGAGTAACTGCAACTCGCTTCTGCTGTGAGAGAATTGCTGTCTGCAAGGGTGTTGCCCAGGGGACACCCGGATGTTTGATGTTTTACCATCCTTGTGGAAGTCTTCTCTCATGTCCCTGAATGGGGAGCTGGAGCTGACAGAGGGAGCTCAACCGGCTCTCCCCAGATTCAAACTGCTGACCTTTTGGTCATCGGTCCTGCCTGCACAAGGGTTTAACCCACTGCGCCACCAGGGGCTCCAAAGAATGGGTTGAAAACCAATGACAACACAATGCCACACATACATGTTTTCTGTATGCATAAAAGGTTGTTTCTTGCACACAGTGACATCATATAACATAACATAACAACAACAGCAGCAGCAATGCTTTTGAGCACTCTTCCCAAAGGAGTTTTAATTATTCATTCTTGCTGGCAAAAGGGAATAGTTACAAAGATTTACATCATTGCTAACCACTCCTTTGCTGGCATGAATCACAAAAGAGCTTTTCCAGAGCATCGCCTTTATTATGCACCTAGGCCACTCACTTCAAGAATGACAAGTTTACAAACGCAGCAGAAATTAGGTGATAATGAAATGGAAGAATCCTCAAAGGCTATAACATAGTGTTATTCCATATTGCATATGGGGGAATCACAAGTTTGAATATTCAAATACACACAAAAAACCCTGCTGTAAAGAAACAAATGGAGGTAATATATAAATTGTGATAGAACATTCGTCCTTTATAGTTTGTATTGGTTTATTAAGGCAATACAAAATAATCTCTCTCTGTGCCTTTATGTGTGAATTAATTACAACCAAGGGTATGCATTTTTATCGTTATTTGCTATCAACATGGCTTCATTTCTAGTTATCTGAATATCAGTATTTAGAACTACCCCCTCTTTTTTTTTAAAAAAAAGTCTTTAATTCTTCTCCAGCATGCTAATTTGTTCCAAAAAGGTCCTACTCAAATACAACCAAACCCGTAAAAGACATTAGGGATTTCCAGAAATATACAGTAATTTCTGCAGTTATGTGCCAGCAGCTAGCGTCAAATCTTTCTCTAAAATTATGTGCTTTTAAGCACCCAAGAAGCACAACATTAGGAATTGGTGGGGATATGATTTCCAGTAAATATTCTAATTGCTTCCAATGTTGCTTGCCAAAATGGTTATATATTAGGGCAAGCTAAAAATTCCTTTATGCTTCCCCTGAGTATTGAACCAGGGGTGAACTATTTCCAAGGACCAAGGGATAATGCTATGCCCCTAAACAATGGACATGATCACCATTTTATGAACCAGTCAACTGTGTGTTCAACGATTTTCAATGGTTTCTGGTGGTGCAAGGCCATGGAGATTAATTTCTTAGTCTATTTGGCATGCTTTATGCCCACAGTGGCCTTTTAAAAATCCTGTTGGGCTTTACAGTTTCTCCTCCAGTAGGACCAAAGAGACACAAAATTCTCCTGAAATCCCAAGTCTTAGGGGCTTCTGGGACTGTAAAGGTAAAGATGTCTGACTCTGGGGGTGGTGCTCTAAGCCGAAGACCCGGTGTTATGCGTAGACACCTCCAAGATCATGTGGCCAGCATGACTGCATGGAGCATCGTTACCTTCCCACAGAAGCAGTACCTATTGATCTACTCCCATTTGCATGTTTTTGAACTGTTAGGTTGGCAGAAGCTGGGGCTAACAGTGGGAGCTCACCCCACTCCCCAGGTTCGAACCACCAGCCTTTCAGTCAGCAAGTTCAACAGCTCAGTGGTTTAACCCACTGGGACTGTAGTTAGTTAATTTTCAGCCAAAAACGTAAAAGATGGAGGCATGTAAAGACACTCCCAAGGTAACCCTAAAGTTTGGAAAAGTAACTTTTTAATGTTAAGACATCCAGAATCACCTGGCCAGCCTGACAACCAGGAAGGGTGTGCTTTTCTGACTTTGGTTCCATCTTTCGGCTGCTGCATGTGTTCTGCCTCTGTTAACCTTGTCACTTTGGGAAGACTCACACTTTAGACTCAAGACTGTATTTTTGGAACAGATACATCTCTGGCAGGTAGCTCAGAGCCATGCTCTGTAGTGGAAGAGCTCAGAGGGAATCCTATCAGAGAGTTCATCTAGTGCTTGATGGGAAATTGCCAGAAGTGTTCTAGGCACTACCAACCTACCTTCAAAGATAGGACAGATCTTTCTCCAGGCGGTGATCCCACCCTGACTTGTGTATTGCCCAAGGGCTGTCTCTAAGAGGAAGACGGGAATCCCACAGGCGAAGAGGAAGATGAGGTAAGGGATGAAAAAAGCACCTGTAAAAAAGAAAAAGAGAGGAGTGCAGGGCTGCTAAAATGTCATGTTATTAAAATCTTATATTTAAAAAGCAGGAAAAATAACCATACATGTTGGATTAGATCAGGCATGGGCAAACTTTAGCCACACAGGAGTTTTGGACTTCAATTCTCTCAATTCCTAACAGCCAGTAGGCTGTTAGGAATTGAGGGAGTTGAAGTCCAAAACACCCGGAGGACTAAATTTTGCCCATACCTGGGCTAGATTAATAATCATGCTTAATCTTAACTGGACATCTCATACAAATGCATATCAATGGTAAAACTGGATCATTTACAACTTTGCACCTCAGGCAGCAAATGCTGAGAAGCAGCAACTAAGTGTTAGAAGAGAGTTCTGTGTGTTGCATAGCCTTCTTGGGCACTTTAAGCCACTGTCTCTATGCCAGTGGGACAGTGAAGACTTCCTGACTTCTATACCAAAACTGAATGACACTATCCAAATATGTGAACCTATTTTAGATACCTGTATAACTTCTTTAAAGTTCAGACTAACACCCAGAGCAGATTCACCATACTCATTTCCCAAGACACAAAAGTCACCACTGTTCTTAGGCTGGCCAGCTGCAGAACAAGACTGTTATGAATAACTTTTCCATAAGTTTAAAGCATAGGTTCAAAGAGACATACAGATTCTATATAACTACATTGAATTTGCAAACAACCTACAGATGAGGCAGGCCCCCACTCTGTCTTCCTTCCAGAAGAAATTGAAGACTTTGATGTTTGGACAAGCCTTTGAGAATGTCTAGTCCCAATGGTCCACAATTAATGCCACAGCACCACACTTTCGTCTCATGCCCTAGTTCATTAGCTAAAATTTGCACTATCCTATTCCCTGCTCCTGTTTGCAGTTGACTATGTTTTACAACAGTTCTCATCATAGGTTATTAGGTGCTGTTTTGAGCACCCAATATCTTGTATTGTACTGTGTGTTTATTTTATGCGTTGGTTTAGGCACGTTGTGCCATATGTAAGCCGCCCTGGGTCCCTTTGCGGAGATGGACATGGGGAAACAAAAATAAAGTTATTATTGGGTTGTTGTAAGTTTTTCAGACTGTATGGCCATGTTCCAGAAGCATTCTTTCCTGACATTTCACCTGCATCTATGGCAAACATCCTCATCTATGAAATAGTCACAACCTCTGAGGATGCCTGCCATAGATGCAGGTGAAACGTCAGGAGAGAATGCTTCTGGAACGTGGTCATACAACCCAAAAAAATTACAACAACCCAATTATTCTGGCCATGAAAGCCTTCAACAATATAAAGTTGTTGTTATAATAAAAATTATTATTATTATTATCATTATTATTATTATTACAGTTTCATTGGCTAAAAAACAAACAAAGGGGGGTTACATTTGCACTCAGCATTCAGGTTACCCATACACATTAATTCATCCTCATGTATACATCATCATTTCTCCAGCTGTCTTCTGAAGACGAACATATCTTAGGCCAGACTGCATCCTTGCAAACGTGCTACTTTTCCAATACTTCCAAAACTTCTAAAACTTCCAAAATGCATCCTCTTTCTCTAAGAACAATGCCAAGGATTAGAAACTGACTCCCTGCAACATATCATGATAATACTTCCAAAATTGCACTCCTTTCTCTTCCCTTCAGAAAAGGAGCAAGTGACCAGACTGTGTTCCATTGCAGATCTGCCACTCTCAAAGTATATYGTATCTCTGCCCTTCCCAAGGAGCAGAGKATGGCAGGTGAACAGCAAAGCTGTGTGTCATACTTTTTGGATGGTAATAAGGTCTCTTATTATGCYTCACAGGCACGGCTGGCGGGGACGAGAGATAGGGCCTTCTCGGTGGTGGCTCCTRGGCTGTGGAACACCCTTCCCGTAGACATCAGGCTAGCCCCCTCCCTGTTGATATTCCGCAGGAAGTTAAAGATCTGGTTGTTTGAGAAGGCATTTGAATAGTAGTGCAATGARGGGTAACTCGACCATAGGAATGGAACAACGGAAATCGTATTGGACTGTGAACTTGACGATGAGACGACTCGGAATGGCTTGTAGTTATATTGATGTGTTTGATGAGATGTTTTTGATAATGATGTACTGTGGATTATTTTTTGTATGTTGTATTTTGCACCTGTTTATCTATGCTGTACACCGCAATGAGTCGCCATTAGGCTGAGAATTGCGGTATATAAGCGAAGTAATAAATAATAAATAAATAAATTATATAACAATTTCTTGTTGATGCTGTTCCAAAGTTGTAAAGTTGTAGATTTTCCCATCCTTAAACATCCTAGCTTCATCTCTTCCTCAACAGAAGTTGACTTTGCATAATTGGTGTTGGTAAACATAAACCTTGTGTTGAGTTCCTTCTTAACACAAAGAACCTTGTAAACATTTCCTTAACTTAGAGCCATTGTCTCTGTTGAATGTAAACAAGTTGTTTTTCCCCAAAAGTTCGACAGTGAATCATTGTCACAATTCTTATCAATGTCAGCAGTTCAGCAACTTTGAATTACAGTTCCTGTGTGTAGTTGTTTTCCAGGCCTAAATATTTTAGAATGGTGTCTCCAAAATTATTAGCTCTCATTCATTCATTCACACCCATACATATCATATATTTTTATATATCACACATGAAGCCCCATCACCATGATGGTGTAGAAAAGATTCAGCTGCCAGTCAAATGAGATATTTTACATGAATAATAGATATTTTGTTATTCATATCTGACTGCAAAATTGAGTTGGTCCTCCTATTAGACATTTGGGGTGAGAGTAGTTGAGAACAGTGAGAAGGCAAACTCCTTGCACTACCTGCTCCTGATCTGATTCAAAATGCTCCCCAGTCTCCTTCTTTCCCGCGGCTAAATAGCTGCTCTTACTGACATGCTTTTAGAAATTCAGGTGCAAAAAGCCACAAGAGGGGCAAATCAGAAGCTCTCCCATCCCCAAACCTTCCTTGCTTAGTATTCCATTTGGTAAAAAGCAGGATTGGGATTTTAATGCTTACAGTTAAGTGAAGAGTATAAATACCCTACAGCACACTTGCCAGTTCAAGGCCCTTGTTTCAATCTGGAGAACACCAATGCCATGTATTATTTGTAAGGCTACCACTGGAGACCACTCAGAAGTTCACATTAATGCAGAATATGGCAATTTAACTTCAAAAATCAATTCGAGGTCCTAACATCAGAGTGGAAATGATGCAGCCCTATGTTGCCAGAGTTCAACTCAAAATCATTTCCAGTCAGCACGGCCAATGGTAAGAAATGCTGAGGGTTGCAGACCACAATTATTGTGCTAATACGTATTTTTAACATCATAAACTGCTCAAGATCCTGGAGCCGTATCTATTTTTGTACAAAACACATCATGCATTAAAGCAGGTACGGATAAACCCAGGCCCAGGGGCCGGATGTGGCTCCTTGGGCTCTTTTCTCTGGCCCTCCTCTCTCACACCATCTTATCCTTCCATCTCTCTTTCCTTTCTCCTTCCCTTCCTTATCTCCCTCTTTCTCCCTCCTTCCCCCTTCCCTTCCACCCTTTCACCTTTCCTTCCCTCTTGCCTCCCTCCTTCCCCCTCTCTTTCTCCTTCCCTCCCTCGCTCCCTTTTGCCTTTCCTTCCTTCTCTCTTTCCTTCCTTCCTCCCCCCTCCCTTTCCTTCCACCCTTCCTTCCATTCTTCTCTTCTTCCCTCTCTCCCTTCCTTCCTTTTCTTTTTCCTTCCTCCTTTCCTCCTGGGAGATGTTTAGCTGGGAGAAGAGACAGTACAGAGGGAACATGAGAACCATATTTCAAGATTTGAAAGGGTTTCCCATTGAAGAGGAGGGAGGGGGAAAACTGACTTTCTGCTGCTCTAGAGACCAGGCCACAAGGGAGCAATGGTTCCAAATGGCAGGGAAAGAGATTTGACTGAAGAGCTTAGGAAGAACTTCCTGGAGAGTGCCATAGGGTGCCTTGGAGTGTGGTAGAGTCTCCTTCTCTGGAGGCTTTTCCACAGAGGCTGTCTGTTGGGAGTGCTTTGATTGGGCCTTCTTGCATGGCAGGGGGATGGACTGGATGGCCCTTGGGGGTCTCTTCCAGTTCTAAGATTCTAGGATTCTATATCAGGAGTAGGCAATATGAGATCTAATGGATACACTTTTTCTCTCCCATCCACCATTTCATCCTCACCATGGCGAACCCCTTTTGGGATCCAAATGTTTCCTGTCTTTCCTTCACTTTCTGCCTCCAAAAGAGAAGAGGAAGGGGAGGAAAGGTCAGGGAGGGCACTTGGGGAGAACCCCCTCCCTCTTGGTTTGCCCACCCATCTCCAGCCCGACATGCAGCCCCCAAGTTAGAAAGTTTGCCCATGCCTGCATTAAAGGCTTCTTTAGCGACCTTCTGATGATGTTAATGATGACTCTTACCATCTGAGATTGCTTATGGCAGTACAAAAGAGTAGACTTTTTCAGTTGCTGTGCCTGTAAACAAGTTCTAAATTACCTTGTTTACATCACCAGGTAAAAGCATTCCAATTTTGCCAGGCATTTACATCTGCATTTGATTTTAATTTCACTTATTAGTTTGCATGTTTAATTGCTCATTATTGCTTTATTCTAAAATAAGTTTTAATGGCAGACTGCTCTGAAACTCAGCCAGGCGGAAGGAGGATACATCAATGATTTAATAAATAAATGTGGAAAACGTGTCTTCTTCTTCCTGCTTATAATTTCCATATTTATTTTGTCTTCCAAATAAAAAAAGTATCTTTAAATAGATGACCCATGAAGACAGGGCTAAGAAAGTGTATTAGCATATAAATGTGTCCATAGCCCAATAAGCCAAGATTGTGTCACTCAATTAAGTAAAATGAGTCATTAGAAATCCAGTAAAATGTAATTTAAAATATCTGAAGACTTTCAGAGGAATTTCTGAAACTTGAAGTGTTTGAGAGCAACAAAAAAATTCCATGGGACATGGAGCTTGAATAAGTTTGAATACTGATGTGGTTGGGGGGAGGCTGATTTTGTCATTTGGGAGTTGTAGTTGCTGGGATTTATAGTTCACCTACAATCAAAGAGCACTCTCCACCAATGATGGAATTGAACAAAATTTGGCACACAGAACTCCTATAAACAACAGAAAATACTGGAAGGATTTGGTGGGCATTGACCTTGAGTTTTAGAGTTGTGGTTCACCTACATCCAGAGAGCACTGTAGACTCAAGCAATGATAGATCTGGACCAAACTTGGGATGAATACTCAATATGCCCAAATCAAAGAGCATTCTGAACCCCACCAATGATGGAATTGAACCAAACTTGGCACACAGAACTCCCATGACCAACACAAATATTGGAAGGGTTTGGTGGGCATTCATAGAATCATAGAATCAAAGAGTTGGAAGAGACCTCATGGGCCATCCAGTCCAACCCCCGGCCAAGAAGCAGGAACATCGCATTCAAATAACCCCCGACAGATGGCCATCCAGCCTCTGTTTAAAAGCTTCCAAAGAAGGAGCCTCCACCACACTCTGGGGCAGAGAGTTCCACTGCTGAACGGCTCTCACAGTCAGGAAGTTCTTCCTCATGTTCAGATGGAATCTCCTCTCTTGTAGTTTGAAGCCATTGTTCGTCCTAGTCTCCAGGGAAGCAGAAAACAAGCTTGTTCCCTCCTCCTCCCTGTGGCTTCCTCTCACATATTTATCCATGGCTATCATATCTCCTCTCAGCCTTCTCTTCTTCAGGCTAAACATGCCCAGCTCCTTAAGACGCTCCTCATAGGGCTTGTTCTCCAGACCCTTGATCATTTTAGTCACCCTCCTCTGGACACATTCCAGCTTGTCAATATCTCTCTTCATTGACCTTGAGTTTTAGAGTTGTAGTTCACCTACAGCCAGAGAGCATCATGGACTCAAACAATGATGGCTCTGGACCAAACTTGGCATGTATACTTAATATGCCCAAATGTGAACACTGGATGAGTTTGGGGGAAATAGACTTTGACATTTGAGAGTTGTAGTTGAATTCTGAATCCCACCAATGATAGAATTGGGCCAAACTTCCCACACAGAACCCCCATGACAAACAGAAAATACTGTGTTTTCTAATGGTCTTTGGTGACTCCTCTGACACCTCCGCATGACCCCCCCCCAGGAGTCCCGACCCCCAGGTTGAGAAACACTGAGCTAATCCAAAGACTTATGAAATCCTAAAGAAATGTTTTCTCCTTCTCACCCACCCAATGCTTTCTAGAMATATTTACATCTGTTTTCAACAGTTGCATTCCATTTCCTAGGAGGTCCTACATTTGCCCTCCAGGGCAGCCGCTTCAGCGCCAGCAACAATAATTCTGACTGAAGCTCGCTTCCATGACAGATAATTAAGAATAATGCCCCAAGAAGGAGCCTTTTCCCCCTTGGTGGAGTGCCAGTCATGTTAAAGAAGTAAGAGTCAGATCTCAACTATTTTCTCAGCACAAATTTAATTACAGTTGATGGGAACTTGAAGCCAAAATAATGTATCCTCTCTCATAGCCAACCCAACAATGCGGGTAGCGGAATAATATATTGCCCGCACATAGCAAGCATAATAATTTGTCACTACACGAGCCCTTCCAAAGCATTAGTTTAGATGGGAGTGAGCAACCTCTTCAGGTCTGGTGATTATATTTTCATTGGGAACCAACCAGGGGTTTTCTATAAATGTCAAAATCTTCCAAAGTTCTACTGAACTCATATCATATTTCTTATATTAATCCAAATAACAAACCACATACAACAAACAAAACTTCTCTAAAAGTTTCATAGTGTATACGTTGCTCACCCCCAATTTAGACTGTAACAAATGTATAGCTGCTAGTCATTTGGTGACTTGAGAAACTGCCAGTCATTTCTGGTGTACGAGAATTGGCTGTCTGCAAGGACATTGTCCAGGGGACACCTAGATGTTTTTGATGTTTTACCATCCTTGTGGGAAGCTTCTCTCATGTTCCCTCATAGGGAGCTGGAGCTGACAGAGGGAGTTCATCCACACTCTCCCCGGATTCAAACCTCCAACCTGCCGATCTTCAGTCCTGCTGGCACAAGGGTTTAACCCATTGCGCCACTGAGGGCTCCATTTATGAATTGCTTAGCTGAAAGAATATCATTTTTTTTTGTAAACATATAAAGGCAGTCCCCAAGTTACGAACAAGATAGGTTCTTTAGTTTTGTTCTTAAGTTGACTTTGTATGTAAGTCAGAACAGGAACATTTTTGAAATGTAACTCCAGCACACACACACAAGGTAATCTAGAGAAGGGTTAACACCCTTGTGTTTTGCTGTAGAAAGTGTTTCATCTCACTTTCTGTGATAATTGAATTTTTTTTAAAAAAAATGGCTTGCTATGGAAACAAGGATTGGTGATAAAGTTTGTCTTTCCCAATTACTCTAGTATTTGATAGCTTTAACACACTCAGGAATTAAAGTTTTGTCTCTTTTGTAGTAAGTCTATACTTTTTGTGCATTCTTATTTCAATTTGAGTTGAGACACCTTTTCCCTATAATAACTCTTTCAGGAGTGAATTTCCCTTCTGAGGGGTAGATTTCTCTCACTTCCCGTTGTCTCACCCCCTTTCTTAACTATAAGTCATTTGTAGGTTGGGTGTTTGTAACTCGGGGACTGCCTAAGTAGTTACTGTGAAAATACATTTTCCTCTAATCAGCCAGTCAGTGCCTATCTGCTACAGCAGTGGTTCCCAACCTGTGGTTAATGGACCATCAGTGGCCCACAAGAACTAAAATATGGTCCATGGCCTATACTGCTGCAATGAGTACGACTTGCCTCGCAAAATCCTCTTATAGTACGGAAACTTATTAAATATGGTATTCTATGGGTGAGAAGATGGCAACTTCTGGATGGCATATGTTCTGTATCAGAAATTAGAGCTGATGTGGTCTAGCCAATGCAATTTTCTGAATCAGCACCCCCAAATAATCAAACTGAATCTAAAGTTGACCAAAAACAGATTTGTAACCCTTTTGGTACTAATGATGGAGAGTGGTCCCTGGTCAAAGTGGTCACTGGTTTAAAAAAAGGTAGGGAACCACTGTGCTACAGGAATGTGAATGCACAAATGTTATAATTAGGACTTATTGTGATGTCACCACTGATATTTTCTCCCTCCCGTACGTGTTGGGTTAAAAGTGTTGCAGAGTCCACAAGTTCAAAACATTGAATTTCTTGGGTCTCCCTGAGACTAATTTTAACAAAACAAAGCAAACGTGCAGCATGCATTTCATAGCTTAAAATTACTAATTATATTTAAAGGTACATTAAAATAGATACTTGCAGATCATATCTACACAAATGTTTCAAGAACCTCCATTCACCATCTTGAGGGAAGAAGGAGAGAGGAAGAGGGGAAAGAGTGATGTGCTTGAAAACATCTCTGAAAGGTCATCTGGTCATGATGCAGTTCCGTAAATACATCCCTACGATAGGGAACGGAGAACATGGAGAAAATTCTAGATAGCATGTATAGACCATAAGCATGCAGAAAACCCTTAGGAAATGGGTGAAGAGGTTAAAGAGAAAGGTTGGTTGGGAAGCATTTTCTGACAGTTTGTATTATAATCAGTTTTATGTTTTAATGAGAATATTGCAGGATTCAGCATACTGCCATTGTTCATGCAACTGAATTAAGAACAATGTTTACAAGGAAGTAAATGCCATGGAAAAATATTAAAAGAGCTTACTTACCACCTCCATTCTTGTAGCAAAGATAAGGGAACCTCCAAACATTTCCCAGACCAATGATCTCCCCAGCAACAGACAATACAAACTCTACTTTATTGGCCCATTGGCCCCTGTCCTGTAGCTCTTCTCCTTCTTCTCTTTCTTCTTCTTCTTCAGTTTCTTCTTTTACTGCCTCTGGTACAATCATGATCCCATTGGGTTCTGCATCCCACGTTTCTGTACTTTCCATGGTTCTATGAGTTTCAGTAAAAACACAGTTTAAGAATTTATATAAATATTAAATTTTATCCTGCATTAAAAAAACTCAAATTATTTCCATGTGAAAAAATATGAAAAAATGGTGATACAGTGTTCCCTCGCTACTTCGTGGTTCACTTTTCACAGACTTGCTGTTTTGCGGTTTTCCGGGACCTGGCCCAGTAAGTGAGCAAGCGAGGTAGGGCGGGTGAGTGAACGAGTGAGCATGGCAAGGGCAGCAACGATGGCAGAAGCAGGAGTCTGGCCACCTCTTCCAGGCTGCTGCTTCTGCTGCTGCTTCCACCTTTGTGGCCCTCCTTCCATCACTCACTCACCCACTCCATCACTCACTCACCCTCACTCGCTCACTACTCACTAGGCCAGGTCCCGGTGGCAGAACCAGGACTCAGCCCAGTGAGTTGCGAGAGAGTGATGGAGGACAGGTGGGTGAGCGAGGGCTGCAAAGGCGGAAGCAGTTCTACTGTATATAGCGTCCCTACTTCATGGATTTTCACTTATGGTGTGTGGTCCTGGAACATAACACCCGCGGTAAGTGAGAGAACACTGTATTGGTATATTCTTGAAAAAAATCAAATTAAATTAATCAATATGCACACTTGACAAATTCAATGGGTACACCTAATCCCAGCATAATGGGATCATGTTGTACTTGACTGGTATCCTACTATTAAAATCGATGGACTTCTTACAAAGTACAGGCAACAATTCAGGAATTCAAGCACAAGCATCTAACTCTTGTGGAGCAAGTTTGTTTTCTGTTGCCCTGAAGACTAAGATGATGCCCTCCTGACCGATTCATCACCCTCTGTGGTGAATTTAGGGGCAGTGAGGTAATCCTGGAGCCCCACATCCTGTCCTGTCCTGCTGGCAGTTAACACTTCCCCATCACACATGGGGAGTTTAAGAGTTTGCATAAATCTTAAACTTTATCCTGTATTTATCCCATCACATGTGGGGATGCTTCACCACATGCCTTTCCCTGCTACAATAGCCCCATTGTTCCTAACTGAAACACAGGGAGGCTCCCATGTTGGTGGCACAGCATTGTAGGGTGCTGCCGCCCCAGTTGAGCCATGGAGCCCCACTGGAAGTAAGGATACATCATTTGATGGGAGCCCCACTGAAAGTAAAGATACATCATTTGATGGGCAGCATGGGGCCCTGTGGCTCAACTGGGGCAGAAGCATACTAAGATGCTGAAATTTCCTCATGTGATGATGGGTTCAAATTACAGGAAAGGATATTCCACTTAAACATTAAGAAGAACTTCCTGACTGTAAGAGCTGTTCAGCAATGGAACTCTCTGCCTCAGAGTGTGGTGGAACCACCTTCCTTGGAAGCTTTTGTTTATTTACGTCATTTTTACCCCATCTTTCTCTAGCCTGGAGGAAACTCACGGCTGCACTGAGACTGGCACTTTTAAACTGAGGCTGGATGGTCATCTGTCAGGGGTGCTTTGATTCTGCTTTTTCTGCATGGCAGGGGGTTAGACTAGATGGCCTATGCGGCCTCTCCCAACTCTATGATTTAATGATTCTAAATCCTAGGCCAGGATGGACAAATTGTTCCATTTTGCTTCTGCCCATAATCACTTTTTAAATTTTAAATTATTTCCATCCTCAGTATGAAAATAAAATTATACACATTTTTTGTAATTTCATGCCAAATCTTAACTGATATGAACTTCTCACCCTTTCCTAATTCATATTCAACTACTCAATCCAATCATTTGAATTATGTATGTCAAAGTACCAGAGATATCAGAGTAATCCTCAAACATAAAATTGAGTGCAGTTAGACAAATTTTAAAGTCTTTAAAGAATTATTTTCCCCTCCTCAACACACACATGACTGGTCCAAAACACACTGCGGTGATAATTTCAACTTGGCAGGTATCCTAAGAGAATGTACTTTTATTTTATTTATTCTTTAAAATGGATTAATGAATTTTAATTTTTTGAAAGCTAGTGGTAGTCCACAGAAGCCTCTTCACTCACTAGATGGCAGACATTTCTAACCACCGAAGAAAAGGCTGCAGTTTGTTCTGGCATATTTATTTCTTCATCACACTAGAGCAGCGTTTCTTCAACCTGGGGCTTGGGACTCCTGGGGGGGGGTCACAAGGGGGTGTCAGGGGGTCACCAAAGACCATCAGAAAACACATGGGGGTTGTGTGTGGGAAATTTAGCCCAATTCTGTCATTGGTGGTGTTCAGAATGCTCTTTGAGTGTAAGTTAACTAAAAATCCCAGCAACAACAACTCCCAAATGTCAAAGTCTATTAACCCCAAACTACACCAGTGTTCACATTTGGGCATTTTTAGTATTTGTGCCAAGTTTGGTTCAGATCCATCATTGTTTGAGTCCATGGTGCTCTCTGGATTTAGATGAACTACAGCTCCAAAACCCAAAGTCAACATCCACAATACCCTTCCAGTATTTTCTGTTGGTCATGGGAGTTCTGTGTACCAAGATTAGTTCAATTCCATCGTTGGTGGCGTTCAGAATGCTCCTTGATGGTAGATGAACTATAAATCCCAGCAACTCCCAAATGATAAAATCAACTCCCCCTGCACCCCAACAGTATTCAAATTTGGGCATATTAGGCATTTGTGCCAAATTTGTTCGAGTGAATGAAAATGCAGCCTGCATATCAGATATTTACATTATGATTCGTAACAGAAGCAAAATTACAGTTATGAAGTAGCATGGTTGGGGGCCACATGTATTCTTTTTTATGAGCAAGAACCCTTCCATTGGTGTCCACTGTATTTGATTTCTGACACTGCCTTATTTCATTACTTATACTCGAGTATAAGCCATATATAAGTCGAGGCACTTAATTTTATCACAAAAAACTGGGAAAATAGTTTTATTCGAGTATATCCCGGGGGGGTGGGGGATGCAGCAGCTACTGGTAAATTTCAAAATAAAAATAGATACCAATGCAATTCAGTTTACTGAGGCAGCCATAGGTTAAATGTTTTTGAATAAAACTGCAATTTAAGATAAGACTGCCCAACTCTGATTAAACCATTATTCTAACCTTCTTCAATGTAAATGTGCTTGTGTATCCTTCCAACAATACTAAAGAGAGAAAAATAATAAATGTAATAAAAATAATAATAGAGTAAAATAATAAATGTAATAATAATGATAATAATAAAGTAAAATAATAAGTGTAATAAAATCATAATAAAAGAGTATAATAATGTAGATGTAATAATAACAATAATAGAGTAAAATAATAAATGTAATAAAATCATAGTAAAAGGGTATAATAATGTAGATGTAGTAATAACAATAATACAGTAAAAGAATAAATGTAAAAATAAAAATAGAGTAAAATAATAAATGTAATAATAATAACAATAATAGAGAAAATAATAAATGTAATAAAATCATTATAAAATAGTATAATAATGTAGATGTAATAATAACAATAATAGAGTAAAATAATACATGTAAAAATAAAAAGAGTAAAATAATAAAGATAATAATAATAGAGAAAATAATAAATGTAATAAAAATAATTAGAGTATAATAATGTAAATGTAATAACAACAATAATAAATAGAGTAAAATAATAAATGTAATAATAATAATAATAATAATAATAATAATAGAATAAAATAATAAATAACTTTGACTCAAGTATAAGCGAAGGGGGGCTTTTTCAACCTAAACAAGGGCTGAAAAACCCGGCTTATACTCAAGTATATATAGTACTTTCATTCATAGTTTTCCACCTGCTATTTAGTGTCAATTCTAGCCCCTGCCCCACCCTTTCCACTACTCTGAGACAGATCTGATAATGGGAGAAGATTCTCTTTGCTATCTGAAAGACAGCCTTCTTCTATTATGAGATCTGTTGTAAATATACCATATGGCTAATCTGCTGAGCAAAGGACTTGCTCAGCACAGATGTTCAGCACAGATTCCTTGTCCATGGTATCAGCATCTATGTTCCATGGGTTGTCAAGTGAATTGAAAGCCAATGCTTTGTAATGGGACCTGTCTTAAGCTGTCACAGTCTTCACTGCTTACCAATTTGCTCCTGCCAAATGCAAATCATCAAGTATAACAGAGCTTATTAGCAATCTCATTATAGGCCCAGAGCTCAAGATCTAGCTTCAATTTATTTTTGATTAGGGATAACAACAAAGCAAATCTACATAGCCAAGTGTTTTTATTACTGTTTAGTTAACACGATGGTAATGCAGGGCTCCTAGTTACAAGCATCAAAACAGTAATAGGTAATTACAGTAGGTTAGGTAGCGGTTTTCAACTCCCTTACAGCCATCCAGGGCTCGTAATAATGTTCCGAAATGGTCCCAAATTCAACTTTCCTTTCAGCATATTGGCAAGTTGGACAGATGTAAAAAAATAAGGTCTAAGGGATATAGATGATGATGAGGAGGATGTCATGAAGCAGCAAAAAACAGAAATTAGAAGTTGCTAGTTATAAATAACTAATTTATTTTCCTGGTAACTAAGTTATAACTAAAATTGCAATTTAACAAGGAATGTCTTCGGCCATTTTGCAGTATAAAGAATAGCTTTGTAGTTTTTGCAGTTTAAGTATTTTTATATTTATGGGCATATGGGTTCACTAAAAGCTGGTGGAGGAAAACCACATATTATGTATTGGTTTGGGTTGTGCATCATAGCCAGAGCTGTCAACCCTGTTATGCATGTATTTGAAGCCACTAGAAGGTGGATGCAAAAGCGTGTGTTTCATACAACAATCCATAAGTTCATCACATTCAGATACATTTTAAATAAGCCCAAAAGTATTTTAGTTACTTTTCAGAATCTTTGTTACTACTTTATTATGTTGGCAAGTACAGTATGATCCCCGTATCTGCAGAGGATATGCTTCTGGGCTTCACGTGAATAAGTGAGACTACAAATAATAGCAAACTCTATTGAAAGGAAGGACTTCGCATTAAGAATATCATCCATATTACACACAT